GTATCAGCTGGTGTTTCAGACGACAAACAAAGTGGGAAAATAGCTAATTAATCATTTAAGTTAAATGTTTACAATGTGAGAATTTATTTGAATGAAGGTGTTTCCATCTTCAATTAGGCTTTTTTTTTTCTTTTTTGAAAATTTAAAAACACCTCCTTCACCTTTTCTACAGCGATACTTGCATTATAGAAACAATTTAAATTCCAAATAGAGTTCGTTTTGGTTTTGTTTACATAGTATTAGCTGGGTACTGCTAATGCTATCACCGTTACTCACACTGTATGTACAGAGTGAGTAATTAATTAATACAAGAGTTTATGTAAAAAAATGCATTCACTTTTCAAGAATCATTTTGTGGTAATGCCTGCCAAATTTCTGGTATGGTGACATCTCTCAGGTGGACAACAGTTTTGTCTGATGTAGTGAATCACACTGAACAACAGGACAGCTCACAACACCACAACCAGCCTGTCTCTCACCTTGTATGACAACTTCCACTAACATTTCTATGACTCTGACCAATAGCAGCACAGCATATCAACTTTAAACACCGAATGATAGGCCGACAGACAACCCATACGTCTACAATTATCTTTTCGTATTTATTCTTTGACTGTGGATGTCACAGTTTATTTGCATTCCTCTTTCCATTATCTTCATGACATCATACAGGCCTTGGAAGACGTCAAACTATGATTGGTCGGGGAACATATGGCCGCTTATATCTTGCTGCCATGTCACAAAATGTTTGTCTCTATAAGTGTCTAATCTGCCACAGTGACCATCTTATCAGACAGAAACACGTGTAGTTTAAATCTGGCAACAGGTCCTATTGACAAATGCCTTTAATACGATCTCAATCCCTGCAGAGGAAGAACATCCTGTTTGTGTGGTCGATGAGACAATAAGTAGTTCAGTAATCAAACTGATGGTGGTTCCATTAAATACCTTATCCACATGTATGAATTTTTGTCACCTTTTTAAAAAAAATCTTTACTGAAAATCTTCATGTAAAAAAAAAAATATCACCAGATATGTTGTTGTTAGACAAATATGGATACCAGTGTCAGCTCATAGATCTACTTTCTGTAGGGCCTAAAGTGGTTCTTTAAATCTAAATCTGATAAATGTATGTAAGCAAACATCAGCGAAGCTGGTTTAGCCTGTCTGACAGCACACACACACACACACACACACACACACACACACACACACACACACTGTAACCGATGCTGTGTTTTGTTCACATGATACCAAATAACAGACTGAGTGAAGCAGAAACTCCGGTGATAATGCATCAAACATAGATCAAGTATTTCTTAGACTGTTGCTCATTTCCCTCCTCATCGTCCTAGAATGCAGCCAGCACACGTCCTGCCTCAGTGAGGTTCATCAGCTCATGGCTGAGGTCAGTCAGGTCACACTGGAGGCTGATGAGCAGCAGAAAGTGTATCTCACCTCCACCAGCTTGTCTCCTTTCACCACATCCAGGTGAAGTCCTGGAGGAGGCTTTCCGGCCCTGGGAACAAAAACAGATGTTTACTTCAGATTCACCACTTATTCACATATTCATCACATACATTTTGGTAACATAACTGTTATTTTTGAAAAGCTGGTTTTTGTAATGGTGAAACTGAAATATGAAATATACACTGAAATATGTTTAATTATGGCACATCGGTCCAACATGACTGACATATTGGACCGATGTGCAGGTGTGCATGTCATATTCACTGTGCTTCTCAAAGGAGGAGCAAAAACTGTGTAGTGACTCTCCTTTAATATATATATACATATATAGTATTAACGTTTATATGTATATATTAATATATATATAAATTAATGTCCAGCATAAACAGCAAGTCAGTCCAGATGCAGCTCAAACCTTGTGTTATAAATACAAAACATTATGAAGTATCATTTTAAAATTAATCGTTTATTGATCAATAAATTGATGTGACACTGAACACACAGTGTAGTAGTGAGAGAAGATTCACAGTGATTCATCACTGACATTGTTGCCACGGCAACATTAACTGCTGCAGAGTGTCATCTATTATCGCTGCTGTCATTTTCATCAATTCATTTCACAGTTTTTATAAATTCCACAACTATTGTAAATGTATGAATATATCGGAGTCAGAAATAAGTATGGACAAACCGAGTTGTGTCTGCTTCGGTTCTGAGATGTTATGTTTGTGGTGTAATTCCCATGGAGGTCTGGATTTGGAAAAATACTCAAAAAAGTGGAAAATCACATCACAGGCTGATCCAACTTCAGTGGAGATTCCTCCAGACCAGTCAGAATGAGGTTCAGTAGTGTGTGTGGCCTCCACGTGCCTGTAGGACCTCCCTACAACACCTGGACATGCTCCTGATGAGGCAGGATGTTCTCCTGAGGGATCTCCTCCCAGACCTGGATGAAAACATCAGTCAGCTCCTGGACAGTCTGTGGTGCAACGTGGATGGAACCAGACATGATGTTCCAGATGTGCTCAGTAGGATGCAGGTCTGGGGAACGGGCCGGCCAGTCCATAGCATCAATGCTTTCATCATCAGGACCTGCTGACACACTTCAGCCACATGAGGCTGAGCATGCATCAGAAGGAACCCAGGGCCCACTGCACCAGCATATGGTATCACAGTGGGTCTGAGGATCTCATCCCGGTACCTGACGGCAGTCAGGGTACCTCAGGCTAGCCCATGTAGAGCTGTGCGGCCCTCTAAAGAAATGCTGCCCCACCCATTACTGACCCACCGCCAAACCAGTCATGCTGGAGGATGCTGCAGGCAGCAGAACGTTCTCCACGGCATCTCCAGACTCTGTCACGTCTGTCAGTGTGAACCTGTGAACCATCCGTGAAGAGCTCAGGGCGCCAATGGCCAATCTGCCAAACTCTGTGTTCTCTGGCAAATGCCAGTCGCCCTGCACGGTGCTGGGCCGTAAGCACAAGCCCCACTTGTGGATGTTGGGCCCTCAGACCACCTCATGGAGTCTGTTTCTGACACTTTGAGCAGAAACATGCATATCAGTGGCCTGCTGGAGGTCATCCTGCAGCTCTGGCAGAGCTCCTCCTGGTCCTCCTTGCACAAAGGAAGAGGTAACGCTCCTGCTGCTGGGTTGTTGCCCTCCTACAGCCCCCTCCACGTCTCCTGGTGTACTGGTCTGTCTCCTGGTATCTCCTCCAGGCTCTGGACACTGTGCTGAGAGACACAGCAAAGCTTCTTGCCACAGCTCACATTGATGTCATCCTGGATGAGCTGCACTACCTGAGCAGCTTGAGTGGGTTGAAGATACCGTTTCATGCTGCCTGTAGGGCTGAGAGCACTGACAAGATGCAAAAGTGACCAAAACATCATTCAGAAAGGACGAGAACAGAGACATGGTCTGTGGTCACCACCTGCAGAACCTCTCCTTTATAGGGTTGTCCTGCTACCTGCCTCTCATCTCCACCTGGTGTCTGCTCCATCTGCACAACAGTAGGTAGACGTGATTCACAATCAGTGTTGCTTCTATTACATTGTGTTGTTCAGGTGTTGCCTTTATTTCTTTGAGCAGTGATTTTATATATACATATATATATCCATCCATCCATCGTTTCTATACCACTTAATCCTCACTAGGGTCGCAGGGGGGCAGCAGCCTATCCCAGCTGACTCAGGGTGAAGGCAGGGGACACCCTGGACAGGTCTCTATCACAGGGTATCGCACACTTCGAGACAGACAACCAAGCACACATTCACCAATGGACTGGACTGTGGGATTGGACTGTGGGAGAAAGCCGGAGAACCCAGAGAGAACCCACACTGCATGGGGAGAACATGCAAACTCCACGGGTGTCCTCACTGGGACACAATGGGATGCGAACCAGCGACCTTCTTGCTGCAAGGCAACGGTGCTAACCACTGAGCCACTTTGCAGGCCTGAGTTACAACCACTGGTTGATAAATCAAAAGACAAACATTCAGCAACAACTCTCGTGATGTATGATAAGAAATATTGGTTCGTTGCAGCCCTACTATGATGCAGTATCGCTAAAAAGCAGAAGCACACCTGGGCAAAGGAAACCAGGTGGAAAATGCTTTGTTCTTGCAAAAGAGTTGAGACAATTGTGAAAAAGATGTTGAAGCAGTAAACACTGTGACTAATGGATCAGTGTTGCAGCTGGGATTTGAAGGTATAACTTCACACCACTGCAGTTTTCATATTCAAAGAAAGTAAAGCACTTCCTATCAAACCTGAGTACCGCCTTGGTCTGAGCAATTCAAACCTCTACAGTTTGAGAAAAGTCTCATGTTGTGTTCACAGGCAGGTCACAGGTCAGCGTCAACTCCATAATGATAGATGTCATGATGATTGCAGCGTCTTTAACCGCTGCCCAGACTTGCTGAGCATAGGCAGACGGGATTTGCCACATTTATATCTAATAGCTTCAGTTGCATAACATCAATTCTCACACGCAGTGAGCCGACGCCTATGAACGTCGTGCTGCAAAAGTGGGAGTGCTGGTGCAGAGTGATGTGGCCGCCGGCTAAGAAGCAGCTTTGTATTCTACGTGTAAATCAACAGGGACATCATTCTGCGAAACATGCATGGACAAATACTGTGCAATCAAGTTTTAAATAAGTTTATTGCCCCTATCAAGAGTATTCAAAAACAATTTTGCATCACATTAGAGAAAAGGAAGAGACAGTAAAACAGGCAGCAGGTCTAGTTGGCAAAACCAATCAGTAGGAAAATACACAGAAGTAACTCTGTTTGGACCAAACTGTAACCCTCCTGTTACCGATGACGGAACATGACAGCTGCCAGGAGGCTTCACTCCATGACAGGCTCAACATGTCTACCGTAGTGTTGGCCAACACATTAGGAATCCTTTCATAGAACAGATAGCAGTGCTGAGTGATTGATCGTATCGTCATTATCACTGCGATATAAAAATGCCCAATAACCTCATAATAACCCTGGGAACATAGGCAATGCATTCACAGCATTTGGCCAATTAGATGGAGGCCTAGCGAGGTGATCGGTATTCTTTGATTGTCAGTTTGGTGGCGACTCTGAAGGTACTTTTCACAACAGCTGAGAATAAGGAGATGAAATCAAAAAATGTCGATACTTAGGTTGAGTTTTGAATTTAAAAAAATTTAAATAAAAAGCAGCAGCAGGCAAAATTAAATGTTCATTTCTTAGTCCTGTCTAAAGTAAATAATTCTGTTTAACTGGTTTAATTTGTATGTGCAATTTGTTCAATAAAAGCATGTTTGAAATAATTATTTTCTTTGTTCAGTGAGCAATGGCTGCTCTGTGCTTTAGGTCCATGTCAACAGTGTACATGTTAAAGCAGAAAGAAATAGAAACTGTAGAGCTAATACACATCAGTGTATTTATCACATGCAATATCTTCATCAGCATGTTGAACATTATTGCACAACACTGATTTCCTCATGCAGCGCAGCTCTAATCTGCAACAGCACTGCTAAGCCCAGCACATGACATAATACTGTAGTGTTTGGCAACGGCTTTAATGCCTCACCCTGTTTAAAGCTCATTTATAGATATAGGTCAGGAAAATACTCATATTAGGTCATGACCTATATCAGGTCATGAAAATGCTAATGTAGGTCATTTTTATAACCTTTATGAGATCTAAGAAAAACTACCAAGGACCAGCAGCAGCAGCATTATGAAACCCAAAAACCTATTACAAGACAGTTTGTCGTTGGCAAGTTATCAAATACACTTTTAACTTAACTGTAGCATCTGTTGTGTTACTTTACAACTGTTCCATCAAACACATGATGTTTAGGTTACCTTGTCAACAGCAGCTTTGCATGACTTCTGCAAGTGACAGAACTCAATGTTAAAAATGGCATCATTTTAGCTACAGGGTCCACTCAGCGGATATGGTGTGACTATGCAGAAACATTTATTAAGTAGTGCTATTTTTGCTAAACTTGCGCAGTTTATTTAACGAAAACTATGCCGAAGTGAAAACAACACTAAGACGACTAAGGAATAACTTTACACTGTGCTATAGCTCCTTTACATTTGTGCTAGTACGTGAATGAAGATTAAATTGTGGGGCTTCTGAGGCAGCTTTGGTACACAGAGTTACACACTTTCAGTGAACGTAACTTCCGCGAGCTAACAGTGACAGTGAGCTGCTTTTTGTCAAAGCTAAGGAACGTTTCTCACTGAAACACGTGCTTAAATATGTAAAGACAGCTGCTGCTGTTTCAACATGACAAGTTCACGCAGCTCTTACCAGGATGGACAGTCAAAAGTAGGCGTGTTGCTGTTCAGCTTTGCTGCCATCTTCGCCCACTTGTTCTCTACATTGAATTCTGGGAAACTGAGGACTGAGCTGAAGGCAGACTGTGGGGAATGTAGTTCTTTATGAAACGTTGCTTAAATAAGCAGGCAGACGTTTATGGCATTATTTTTACGGTTTTCACAAGTTCAGTACATAAACAAAAATAAATAAATAAATAACATAAGAAGCCTGAAAAATTCAACCAATAACAACCAACAGCTGATAGTTTCTCTGTCAGTAGGTTTCCATCAGCTGGACACAAAGACAGACAAAGCCATCAACTACAACACATAAAACAACCACATTTAACCAAAACAACTAAGATTTGTGTCACCGTAGACGTGTGGGTGGTGTGAACACTCTGATCAGCTGTAGTCCAGGATCAGACGGTTCCACCAGCCTCCAGGTCGCCGACTACCCAACCGCTGACTTGAAATGATGCTCATCAACGGTACAAAACACATGACCTTCATTGATCAGAACAGCCAAGGAAGTTCTAAACAAAGACAAGAGCATGTTACAAACTTCAGTGATAAGACAAATCACCAATATATGGCAAACTGTAATATGAGTTGGCCTGCGTCTGAAGTTGTGTACATTTATAGTATAATAGTGTGACACAAGAATCTCATAAAATACCATTAATGGGTCCTCAGTTCATCCTTGTAAGCAGACAAAAAACACCTTAAATCTCAGGCCTAATCCACATTTATCACTTATTTTATGTTTGTTAAAAAATAAAACAAAATTTAAGCCCTTACACAAAAATAAAATCCCAAGTGTACTTAATGAAGCTGCTTAAAATCGTCGTCTTAAGAATCTCATACCGAATGTCTTTCATCCTGAGGTAATCCAACTGTTTCTTCAGGTCATGGGAACTGATGCCATGTTCATGGACAGAGAACCTCCTGACGACCTGCAACACCTTACACAGGAATCAGATTATTATACAGCCGTGACTCGATAATCCGACCCTCAACAATCCTAAACCAGATTTCCAGTTCAATGCGACTTGTATGTGATCTGCTGTGTGAACTTCATACGAGCCAAAAGTGTCCCGCATGCACAGAAGAGGACACGACGACGTCACACGCAGCGAGCGTGCTCAGTGTTTATGGAAGTAAACATGGATGGTAACGGTGGAGCGTATCTGCCACTCCCCCGCCGCCACCGATGGAGGAAACAGAAGTGTGAGCGCTAACTAAACTAGCATCAGCAGCCAAGTACTGCCTGTGTGTTCTGGCCACTTCCACCCTCGCCACGCCGAATATTCATCATAAATTGGGCCTGAATATCCAGAGACCACAAGGTGCTCTTCAGACCAGCCCTACTAGGTATCATGACAACTATGAACAATAAGTATTAACAACAGATTACCCTTCAGGCATCAAGTCCTCCTTGTGTCTCTACCTCCGCCTTGACAATCCTACAGCTTTGCTGTCGGACATAAAAGAATTATCGAGTCACGACTGTAGTTAAATAATTACATTCCAACTAACAGGCTGCAACCAACTGTTATGTTCCTCAGTCAACAGGAAGTGTTGTTTAGTTGTTCAGTTAATGTATGTATGCATGAAATAGTTAAATTTACAAAAATAGTAAGAAACATTAATTCCCAGAACTGGACCGGGCCCATTAAGCCCACTAACCTGGCCTTGTATGGCGGACAAGTTATTTGGCAGGATGCCTTCAGGATATCCACCCCTGAACCTCCCAGGCAGTGAGGCAGCAGAGGTGTTCATGTTCACGTCAAACACCTGGATTAACAACAAGGACACAGAAAATCCAAAATGTGCATTTCTGCAATATCACAGGTGATCAGCAGCAGTCACATCACAATCAGTGCTCTTCACTAGAGAAGTTCTGGTTCAGGAACTAGTTGTATTCTGACCCGTTTCAGGTCAGGGAACGCAAAGCAAGATACCAGACCTTGACAAAGTCTAAGACAAATAAGATGTAAAACATTTTTATGCATAGACATTCAGTCTATTTTCCCCTTTTTAAATAAGTCATGTCCATCAGACGATCAAAAGATGGATGTAGTAACTGTTTCATGACCCATTGGTTTGTGGATTACAGTTTTGAAACCTTGAGTTTGGCATTTTGTAGTTGTCCTCTGGATCTTTTGAAGCCAGACATAACTAACAAGTGGTAGATTTGACTGAGAGACACTAAGACACCATGTACAGCAATACACAAGTGAACCATCAATCACAAAGTGTCCTTTCCTTAAAACATAATCTACTTTCTAAAGTTTTTCTGCTGTAAATGGGACCAAATTTTACAAAATGAACATCATAGTGTATTGAAGGGGCATTAAAACTTGTGATGAAGACCATAAACCTATGAGGAAAATGTTTACTGAGGTAAAGAACAAAGTGAGAAATACAATCATTTTCTCAGACTTCTACAGGACAGCCTTGTAAAAGAGGTTTTTAATCCCAATGTGTCTTTTCTGGTTAAATAAAGGTTAAATAAAATACAAAATCAGACTTGTTTGAGTCGCCCCCTGCAGGCTGTTAGAAAGAATGCAGGTTTAAGGCACTTCTGCACTGGCATCACCCAGAGGCCACATACATCTTTTAAAAACAGTCTGGTTAGTCAAAGCACCCTCTGCTCTTCAGCACCGCACACCAGTTTGTTCAACAAAACCTTCCTGACAAAGGATTATAAAGCTGCTAAGCTTGATAAAGGTCAGCCAGCAAACCTTTTAGCTTACGTCAGATGCTAACAGGATAAAGTATATACTCCTCTGATCATGGAAACAGTGAACTGAAATGATTTTGCAATGTGAAACGCTGGTGTGAGTCGACCTTTTTACAAAATTTACATGCGCAGGAACATTTCTGTGGCACTGCTCCTTTACCTTTCCAAAGAGCAGCATATGGGCATGAACCACTTCCAGCATGTGGGATGTGATCTCATTCAGGTCCTTGATACAACGAATGTCTTTCGCCAACAATACCCTCTGACCCTAATGGAAAAACCAAAATATGAAATGTCAGTCATTTCTTAAAATCATGAGATGCTCACTGTTCATTGCAGCCCATCATTTCTAAATACTTTACTTACATTTACAATTACTTACATTAAAGTTGAGTAGATTTCCTGTAACCTTCACATAAGTTCCAGTAGGAACAGAAGTCATCAGAGCACAGTCCTGTGAGAAACAATTCAAAACTGATCATTTAACACCAAACTGCAGTGTGTAGCTCCTATTTGTTTTGCATCAAAGTGAGCATGTTGATGCCACTGGCCTTTGTGTTAACCCACTGCATCACTTTCAGGGGCGGACCAGTCATGTCGTCCACAGAGTACTGGATGTTGGTCACAAACGGAGCAAATCCCCGGATGATGCCCACGACTGAAACCTAGAGGGACAAGAAACGCAAATGGCAAAGTTTTCCCAAGAACAAGTTCTACTTAAGAATTTGAAAATCTATATATATATATATTTATATATCAGCAACAGATACTCCATTCATGTGAAGACAGCTCGCCATAGACCAGGAGAAACTTGTTTTATTGCAAGCAGCATATAAATATCAGAACATCAGTAGCGCTTCACTGGATGCCAAACTGAGGATGTTGATGGATATACGAGGCCGTCACACAATATTTAAGCCATTCCATCAAACTTTTCATAACCTTAGAGTTGCATTTAGTGCAGCATAATCCCAAACTACAGAGTCACTCTGTGGCTAAAGACTCGTGATTTTTAAGCATATTGAGGATATCAAGTCCTTCCAAGTCCAAAGTCTCAGGTCCAAATAAAGACACAAGTCATTTATTTCCAAGTTTTCCAATATTTCTGAGTCTTTGGTCACTGGATCCATGACTTCCAAGTCCTTACTTGCAGGCTGTGCTAATAAAGAACTGAAATCTTCAAATCAATGTGCTTCAAATAATATTGATTTACTCGTACCTGGTTCAGTTCCAGATCGCAGAGAGCAAAGGTTTCATTGCTGATTTGAGAAGCAGACAGCAGCTGAGACACAGTGGTGGGCAAAAGAGAGGCTTTCTGTGGTAAGATCAGGGTGAAGGAATGCATTAATGTGAGTTCACTGTAAGAATATGTTCTTCAGATTATTAAAATGCATTTAAGTTAACAGCAAACAGACACACCTTTAACAGAGCTGCTCTGTGGCTCGTGATCCTGCCAGAGGACTGACTGAAACCTGTGTCCAAACAATATGTTGAGTTTGTTTTAGGTCAAATGACAAAACTGTTTGCTTCAGAGCTTCTGCTGTCACTTACCTTGATTTGCCATTTCCAAGATCAAAGTTAAGCATCACCTGGTTAGCTACAGATGTGCTTCAGTGATGTTTCTACCTAAGAAGCCAGAAAAAAGAACGAGGCTGGACGCACTAAAAGCATCCAGCTCACCATGCTGGCAGCTTCTTTATGCCCATCAGGTGAACTGAATTTACCAATTAACTGTGATGCAGGACAGGAACAAACAGAAGGACCAGAGGAGGGTTATTATATTAAAAATCAATCAGTTCCTCTCACCCGACCCCGTCAGGATCAGCAGATTCATTTTACATTAACTATAGTATATCTAATGAAATCCTGCAATGTTTTCCATTATTATTATTATTATTATTATTATTATTATTATTATTATTACCAACTCAATTCTACATCCAGTCCAGATGTCAAAACAAAGAACACAAAATCAGTTTTTTATTCAGCACAACTTTTTATAACCAACTTTAAACATCCATTTAATGGGAGTTTCAGTAGCAAAGCTGCACCTGTTTAATGTCTATTAAATGTTTTAAAGTGTTAAACAAGAGCTGCAAGGTGGCTCGGTGGTTAGCATCGTTGCCTCACAGCAAGAAGGTCGCTGGTTCGTGTCCCAGAGAGGACACCCAGGATCTTTCTGCGTGGAGTCTCCATGTTCTCCCCGTGCAGCGTGGGTTCTCTCCGGGTTCTCCGGCTTCCTCCCACAGTCCAGAAACATGCTGAGGTTAATTGGTGATTGTAAATTGTCCGTAGGTGTACATGTGCTTGGTTGTCTCTAAGTGTAGCCCTGTGATAAACTGGTGACCTTTGCAGTTATCTGACCATGAAGGCCTGATTCACACAGTCTCCTCTGAACAGTTCATGTCGAGATTTGTCTGCAACTTGAACTCTGTGAAGAATACATGTGGGCTCTAATCTGAGGTGTTGTTAATTTGTGGTTTCTGAGGCTGGTAACTAATGAATTAATCCTCTGCAGCAGAGGTAACTCTTTGCCTTGTTTTCCTGGGAAGAGCCAGTTTCATCATCGTGTTTTTGCAGCTGCACTAGAGGATACATTGAAGTTGCTGAAATTTCCCAGATCGACTGTCCTCCATGTCTTACAGTGATGATGGACTGTCATTTCTTTTTACTGAGTTGAGTGGTTCTTGCCATACTATGGATTACAACAGCAGTCAAATATGGCTGTCTACTGTGTACTAACCCCACCTCTGCACAACACAGCTGATGGTCTCAAACACATTAAGACGGCAAATAATTCCACAAATTGACTCTTGACAAGGCACATCTGTTCATGTAAAACCATTCCAGAGACCACCTCTTGAAGCTGACAGAGAATGCCAAGAGTGAGCACAGCTGTCATCAAAGCAAAAGGGGGCGACTTTAATATCAATAAATGTAATCCAAAATATATTCTGGTTTGAATGAGAAGGTGTGTCCAGACTTCTTACTGGTACTGTAGGTAGGATGAAGGTCAACTTTTGCATGACTTCATTAAATATACTGAGGCTACAGTACATTAAAGAAAACAGTATTCTGAGGGGGTCAGCTGTGAACTTTCATATTTGATTCATTTCATGTGCCATGACCCAGGAGAAAGTGATCGGTTACAAACTCATTGTACATGCTCCACTTTTTAACGCCATTCAATTATTTCAGCAGCGTTTTGTTTGTTTGGTTTTTTATTAAATTCCATCAATTCAACAGTGATTGACAGGTGTTCACTCCACGTCTGATAAACTTCATTTAATCTCTTCAAAATATCTTACAATGACAAAGCAAAAATTGTTCATATAAAAGTGTGAGCGCAGAAGTTTGCCTGGCTGTGAGCTCAGGTGTGTTATTTGACAGGAGTGTGTTCTTCATCTGACACAGGACATGTGAAGTGTAGCCCTGATCCAGGACTCACAGGACCAACATTTCAGTCACTAAGCAGGGCAAAGAAGTGGTTTTGAGAAAGAAGGCTGTTGGAAAAGACAAACTTAGTGTCAAGCAGGTTAAAAACAAAGATTTTTGCCACAGCAAGAAACAGCTCTTCCATTACAGCTACTACAAAACAGACTGCCCAGACGCCAGCTAGTGTAACAGATATCACAATGCACTGCCGTATTATACATGAACCGTGTCCCAGAGCCGTGACTCTTTGTTGCATTAGACTGGCGCTTACATTCCAAAGAAGTAATACAGTTATCGTCGTGTAAAGTCTTTCAGGCTGTGAGTCGCTCCTGTTTCCTCTGAGGATTGCATTTTGGGGTAGTTGTATCCACTACATGCATACTCAGAAATTAAGTGTATATACAGACAGCTGACAAAATAAAGGAAAAACCAACATAAATGTCTCAGTAAGGTGTTGGACCACCAGAACAGTTTTACTGCTCGTTGGCATTGATTCTCCAAATGTCAGGAACTCTACTGGACGGATAGGGAACCGTCCTGTTCCCTCATTTGGTGTTTTGATGATGGTGATGGAGTTGAGCTGAAGTCTGGTGACTATGAAGGCTGTAGCATGATTTACATTATTTTCATTATTCCCCTTGTGCCCTGTGGATGGAGGCACCGTCATCCTGGAAGAGAACATTTACATCAGGACAGAAATGTTTCATCCAAACTGAGGGGATCAATCAGAACAGTTTTGTACCGATGAGCAGTGACTGTTCCCTCTGAGGGAACCATGTCAGCAAAACGTCCCCCAAGGGACAAGGGCTCAGGTTTTTCCATTAATTTGACAACAGTCTATAATAAATATTCATATTTATTATGGGAATATACTTCTTTCACTCACTTTTGTGGGAAATTCATGTCATATTGGAGATATCATAATTATGAGAACTCGTATACGGCAAACGTTAATATTCTCACACCAACACTTTTTTTTTTTTTTAAACCAAAAAAAGACCAACAGTTGGGAAGCATTTTGCACCGAAAGTTGACACAACAGTTAAAAACTAGTGTTATGCTGGAACAAAGTTGCTGCTGCACTGCTATCTTAAAATGGGTAACAACACGAGGCTGTGGGCTTTCAAATGATGCAAGTTTGTCAAATTGGATTTCGAACGGTGCGATACCATTTAAAAAACAGCAGCAGAATTTCCACTCAGCCTATATTCAGGCCAGTGAATGTGACGGAGATAGACTCAGGCTGTGTCCACTTGGAAGGCGTATTAGCAGCTCTGTCTGTTGACATTAGAGGTGTTCAGAAGCGGCACTGAGCTGTAGGGAACCCAGGAAGTACTCAGAGACCAACACCTGATCTCTGCAGCTCCATAAGATGTGAAATGGAACAATTAACTATTACACATTATTACATATTGTACATTAATGGGTGTATTGCGCAAGTAAAACATGAGCAGACAGTTGGTTAAAATAGCAGCTTATCTGTCAGACACGCGAGATAGACGATTGAAGAACACAGCTACCTCTGACCTTATCTCCATCGTGACTTGCATCTTGTAGGTGAACGCTCACTAGTTATTAATATTGAAACCTTTATTATCTATACCATCCATCCTCTGCGATGGGGACACAGTATTTGTATGTAAATGCGATACAGTGACTTCTCTTTGCTGGCAGCACTGAGCGTACTCTTGGTTTTTTTTCATTTGTAACCATCTGGTTTCCATCACTCTTCTAAGCACAGCTCAGTGACTGACATGTCAGAGATAGCAAAGCAGTACACTGGTACATCACATGATGGTCCTGAATCAGGGCTTTGTAAAGTGGTGTATTTGACTGATGACCAAATATTCCAAAGGAGACGGTTCCTTTTCCAGATGGCTCCGCTACCAGACAGAATGGAGCTGACCCACGTCGTATACCAGCTTTTGCTTACACAAAATCACAAACAATAGGCCAATGACAAACATACAATTATCACTAGCACACCAACTGTATTAACCTGTAAGTATATCACATCTTTCCAGTGATTGAAGGAAACTGATGCTGAATCGAGAGCTGAAAAAACTGAGGCCATCACAGCAATTTACATGTCAAACAATCAGGCTCTTGAAAACAGAGCACATCCAGTCAAATGTACATCAGCCTGTTCATCCCCTGTTGATCCTATACAGTATTTACACATGTGCAAAGGAATTTAATACAACAAATCAGAGGGAGAAGTCTCCAGACCCCAGACCTAGCATTTGTTTGGCAAATGTCTCAAACCTCACAGGAAGCAAAGTGCCTTCCTCCTCCTCATCCTCCCCCTCGTCTAGTAGGGTAGAAGCAAGAAATTTGGCCGGAAATGACTCTACCCATCATCCTCTGCTCTGCTTCGAGCTCTGAGGATATGGGTGGCCTACTTTGAGTCCAAGGTTTGCTGCTCGCGTACAGAAAGCAACATTCTTGAAGCGACATTGTCCGAAGCAGCGCAAGAAGTCCTGCAGTAAAGACAGGCGCTGTAATACTGATTTAGTGGTATTGCTATTCCTACCAAAGCACAGCGCTACGGGTTCATCCAACGCCATGCAGCTCAACCACAGCTTCTGCCAATTCTGTGTTTGAGTGCAATATCAGTGAGGCCACTCTAGTGTCAAAAAAGAAAGTGAAGGCAAATCTCAATTGCATCATGACAGGAAATCAAACTATTACAGCTACAGGGGGGAATTAAAGGCCATCTCGCAGATAAATGTTGGCAACAAGTCAAGGGAAATTTGATTTTCTGCCAGCTTAAGAGCAGAGAGGCAGCCAAGATTGTTTGGTTTTTATTGGGTTCTTGTAAAAATTTGTAAAAGTGCACACATTATGTATGACCTGAAAGGCAAAAGGGGTCCCGAGCATGATCCTCTGCCAAGTGCTGAAACAACTTAATAGGCTTAGAATTAGCCTGTCGGAAGCATGAAGAAAGGGATTACTGTAAGATTCAGAGCCAAAGGAAACGAGGAGCAGTGACACAGTGAGAGGAGATCAAGCTAAACACAACAGTATTATGTGTCAAAGAAAACAGAAAAAGCAGAGTTCCTCTGGCTGGTAGAGGATGGCGTGTGCTGATGTCTTCCCTCACTTCTTTCCTGAAGGTGAGAGGTACTGCATGCATAAGTAAGGACCGCTGGCTGACATTGTGTTCAGCCTGGTAAACAAATACCAACGCAGTTATCGCACCCAATCCAGCCTCACGGAGCTTCACCAAATAATACAGTAGGTAGTTAGGAGGAATAAATATAAACAACGAAATAAAAGTGCTTTCACTGAATTCCTCGCCCCTTTTACACATTCAGGTCTGAACGGACTCGCATGTGAATATTCATGTCACTGCTCTTATAATGCCAGCAGTTCCAACTTCACATAATAAATAGATTTTTAGGCAACGCAGGGATTTTTCTGGAGTAGATTTGTTTGCCACGTGTGGGGGAGTCACTCCACAAAGTCCCAGACTGCTTTGTTGTAGTGCGCTCGCTTGTTGGGATTTTCTTATTAAAGGATCATTCTGATTTATTACAACTTTAGCTGCATTTTCATAGTTTTTCTACTGAATATGATTATACTATGTTCACCAAAATAACTGCTGAGACCTGGGAACACAAGACATGCATCGCAGACATTGTGACAGCTATGATTTCAGCCTGCAAAACTGAAGAACACCTGCTAAAAAGCCAAAGCTAGTTTTGTTTGAAATTAAGCGCCGAAAGTTACTACTGAACATTGTGAGTGGTATATCTTCCACTGCTATCACTGTAACCCATGGTCATCTCAGGTCTGAATAAACAGCCTGCACTGGGCACCCACACTAAAAAACCTAGTAGTGCTTTCATATCACTTTCAACATGGAGCCAGTATGAATGAATGCAGTCACATTGAGAAGGACTGCAGTGTGACGATATCATCTTGGGCTGTGGAAAACACTGATGGATATTTTCTCAGGATTTTCTGAAAATAGACCAAAAAAACCCACAGATTAATCAACAATGTCAATATGTTCTAGTTGCAGCCCTAGCATGGATGGATAGGGAGGCTTGCACACAGTCTGACATAATTACATTTTTATGTGTAGCTATCTGCCAGACCAAGGACAACCAGGATAACCAGGACAACCAGGATAACCAGGATAACCAGGACAACCAGGATAACCAGGATAACCAGGACAACCAGGACAACCAGGATAACCAGTATAACCAGGACAGCCAGGATAACCAGGATAACCAGGCAGCATTACTACACTGTAAGGATCTCATACAGTGTATTAAACTGTCTGTATTGTCTAGTCGTGGGTGTTCGATGCTCCCTCCATAACAGTCTGTCAGGTCTGAATAAAGCCAGAAGGCACATTAATATAAAAGTCATCCTTGTTTGAACTCACTTTAGGACTTGAAATGTTACGTATGTCCGAAAGGGGCTTTAATGAATACAGTGACAACTATGAAACTGAGAACCCACTTGTAATAAACCTGAATGATCCTTTTAGTCTCTCTGCCTTACTGACAGTGAGGTTATTAAAATTAAGAGTTTTGTGTTTAAGGCTCCACATAAATAAATAACCATGTTAGGGGTTAGTCTGGGACCGCTCAACTTATCTTGAAATTTGCAATGAAAACAACAACCACAAGCACCGGAAACGTGGTTAAAATGACCTCAACCCACAAAGCCAATAAAACAGGCCAAAGGAGGGGAGGGGGGGCAAAGCACCAAAGTTTGGTCGGTTTCCTTCTTCAAGACAACAGAACAAAACTGACCTTGACAGTAGACATTTGTCTACAAATACCATCATGCTGTATATTTTTATTACCTGAGCATTTAGGGCATATCTGCAATTTATTCCATAATAGACTCAAATCTTGATGCAAATATTGTAAATATTAATGCTGGTGGTCAAGACCATGCTGAAGTGAGTTTTTACGTCAGGTTTTGCCAAAGTCACAAACGGCTTCAAAACATTCCACACATCGAGGTGATTGGGTTTTAGTATCGGCCCTTTGGATAAATGTAGATCACAGGATAATGTCTCATATTGCATTGAGTAACAATTAGCACCGAGTTCAAGATGGTATTTGGAGACAAGCTGTTTGGCTGTCACTCTGACTTTCCCTTCTAATTGAACGCAGGACTTCGAGGGTCATTTTGCTCTTCCATCACGCTCAAGTGATTGTGTAAGGAGGAAGTGGAAGCTGTGATGTGATTAGCCTGAGACTAAACTGCAGTTTGGAGCAGCAGCAGTGGTGGGTGTCACATCTCTCCCCTTCAATATAAAGACACAGCAAGTAGAAGACTGTATGTGCTTGGACAGTGGATGAAGTTTAAGCCACAATACAAACAATGACTATTCTAGTTATTGTTCCCTAGTTTAAAACAATAATCCCCCGTTACGTGACCCTCTGGGATAACAGTAGCTGATGAAATGTGTACATGTGCTTGATGGGCGGAGTCTGTGATGCTGCTTGCTCATCCATCACGTGTCCCAGTCCAGCTCTCTGCAAGCAATACGGACCAGTCTGAGCTCCAGTTCAAAGGCGTCGGGCCGTTCCTGAGGGTTGGCCGACAGCATCTCCCTGATCAGCTGCTTCATGTGGCTGTTCATGCTCTTTTTCCTGGCGGGGATCAGCAGCTCCATCTTTGGGTTTTCTAACAGGGCCTCTCCTAAGGGTACAATCTCTGAGCCCTGCTGCACATAGCTCCCCAGCAGCTCCTTCTGAGTCTCCACATCAACAAAGGTGATGCGCTCGACCATGGCCCAGATTATCACCCCCAGGGCGAAGATATCTGCCTTGGCCGTGTAGTGGCCCTCCCAGACCTCCGGGGCCATGTAGAAGTCCGTCCCACAAGCTGTGGACAGGAAGCACTTGTTCACGCTGGCCGGCTCCTCAGGGTTGAGGCCAGAGGTTGAGCAGACCTTGCTTAAGCCGAAGTCGGCCACTTTGAGAGTTGGCTCAGATGAGCCGGCTGGCGTGCAGGCCTGGGAGATGAGGATGTTGTCTGGTTTGAGGTCACGGTGTATGATCTGGTTGCGGTGCAGGAAGGCCAGGGCGCTGCCCAGCTGCAGCATGAAACTGGTGTTGGTCTTGCGGCTGGGCTTACGGGACAGCAGGTATGCATTCATGTCGCCCCCGTCACAGAAGTCCATGACGAACCACAAGTAGTAGGCACAGCACGGGTCGAAGGTGATCTCCCCCTTCAGAGATGTCTCCACCAGCTGCAGTGCAAACACAGAAGAAAAAGCACATATAAATACACTTTAATACAGTGATGGACCACGGCACAGGTACACCAGCAACTGGCACCAATCCCACCAGCTCCATCAACTCCCCACCAAAACATGAAACAAAACCTTCACATGGGCTTAGCTTTTCAAGGTTGATTAGCTGACATTAGCATATTATATTACAGCCATAGCAGCTAGAGCAAAACAGACAAGGTGCCTGATCCAGAGCCCTCCTGTGTCTGCTCTGCCACCAGCTGAAAGGCAATAGTCACATTAAAAGACATTCTATTCTCAGAAAAAAGATGATGTGATCCTGATTAACATATGAATTAAATTACCTGCAAAGCCAAAATTTAGCCACTGAACAAGCAGTCAGACGCCTGCGTTTACAGGAAATAAACATAAAGCATTACCTCCAATGCCCACAGACTTAATTATTGATATGGTGACAAACAGTTCTGCAATGCAAAGACCTGAAGAACCAAACACGTTGGGTTGCTCTGGCTTTGTATTCAGAGCATGTTTGTCTCCCACCTCCCTTTCTGTGGCCATTCTTTAACTCAAAGCCGCGTGAGAGGCCTCTCATCTTTTATCTTTGCCACCGGAAGTTCATTTAATCTCGCTTTTTGACAGCAGACCACAAACCCATGAGGTTACATCCATCTCTCATTAAATTAAGATTAAATAGAACGTGTTTCTGGAATTTGATAGATGGTGTTTTGTATTAACCAGAGAAAAGCCACCGGTTTGATAATGAACAATGAGAAAAGCAAAAGGCTGCATGGAGACAGTATCAGTCACTCGTTTTAAAAACGTTTGGTGGCAGTCGTACAAAAAACGCTGAACTGGCAAATGTAATACAAGCGCTTTTAAATTTGAAATGATCTTTGAATTGCACTGATTATCAGCTGAGGTGAGACCTATGGATGCGTAGAAATTATTTCACACATATCACCATCTATGACTGAACAAATGCACCAAAACTAATTTTTCTAATCCAGGGGTCAGCAACTCTTTTATACCTCTGCTGCGGCTCCATGTGGCTTTGGAAAATAAATGAGTATTTAATTTAAATGTATTGTTTTCAGCTTGTTAGTTTTTAAAATACAATTCTGAATTGAAGATTATAATAAAATAAAACGTGTTTAATTATTTTTTTTTGTCGCTCAAAATATGCGTCACACCCGCCAGCACACACAGGCTGTGTCCGAAATCACTCCCTATGCCCTACATAGTGCACTATAGTGATCACTATATAGGGAGTAGGGAGTGAGTGGGTGATTTCGGACACAGCCGCACAGTGTCGCCAACTTTGTGACTTTCTCGCTAAATCTGGCGACTTTCCAAATCCTCTTGGCGACTTTTTTTTGTTTTGTTTTTAGTCAAAAGTGACTGGCAACCAATCTAGCGACTCTTTCTGGTGTTTATGGAGATTTTTATGGTGTTTTGGAGACTCTGATGTGAAAACACACATCGTTCTGCAGTTGCTATCGTCAGCCAGTAGTGGGTGCTACTGTGAGCTCCTCCCGTCCTAACAGTCTGGTCAGCAGTCCAGCTGCAGTCAGCAGGCCAACCACATGTCAGTTTTACTTTGCTGCAGGTGGATAATTTCTATTTCATGAATACGAGGAGAACTCAAATAGACATCGAGTATTTTATTTGAAAGCAACCTTCAACCCAGCGTCTTTTTTTTCAGAGTTCAAAATGTTTTTGTTGCAGAAATAAAATTATGTTTTCTATGTGGTAGTTCATTAATTTGATAAATGCAACACACTATAGTTGTTTTTATACATAGCATTAATGTAAAAACGATATATGCTATCTGTGTTATCTTCATTTCAGATGTCAAAAAGGTTTTGTGGCTCCCGGCTTTTTCTTTTCTGTGGGAAACGGGTCCAAATGGATCTTTGAGTGTTGAAGGTTGCCGACCGCTGTTCTGACGACATTCATTCATTACCCGTTTTACTTCCAGAACAAACAGTCAATTCTTTTTTTACAAAAGACATTTATAATTTAATTTCAACAGTTTGATTTTATGACTTCCATACTGAAATCAGATGAACTAAAAGATGAGATAAAGGTAGTAAAACCGTCAGGTGATTAGGGAGCACATCCAGTGTCACTTTAAGATGTGTGCAGTGCTGCCAGTTTGTCTACAGCCTGTGAGAGATGTTCAAATACCAGCTGAAGTTGTTTAAGAGTTAGCTGAAGCATACCGATAAGTTGAACCAGATAAATCATGCATTGAAGCTTCTCGTGTAAACTGCTTCACAAGCAAAACAAATGTTCTCAGTATGTGTAATAGGCAACTCCTAGTGGAAACCCTGTTGTAAACAAATGGCTGCCAGTTGTTGGACATGCCACTAGCCAAGGAATCCACGACCCAAAAAGAATAGATGTAGACTATCCCACAGTTGGTGCGGTCAGATAATTCCGCCCTATTATCATTTGCTTTTCTGTAAGCACGTACTGGAACATTACAAAGCAATGAAAAAGAAAAAAAGAGTGCTGGGATAAAGAGATTCTGGGAAAGTGTCCAATGCAAGCGCTGCAGAAAACTGAACGAACAGTCTGACAATAGGCCTGCGAGTTGCTCACAGGCTATAATCAGGCCTGGGAGCCTGCCGTCAGACAGCAGGGAGGCTCTACAACATGACAGGCTGCAGACAGGTTGACTGGAAAGGGGAGCCCCCAGCCCAACCCCCACCTCAACCTGACAACACATTTATGTGACAGTGGGGCCACAGACAACACAGGCCAACCAGAAACCTCCAGCTCTTCTCCTAACGCACACCAAGCAGCTCACATGCAAATAAATCAGTGCCAGCATTTGCACTGATATCCAGGGCATCCAGAACTGTGCATTTCCAATGCTAATAACTGTAATACGAGTTTACAGAAAAAGCATGAGGCTTGTTGCTGACGAGTCACATTGTGATACTGAAAAAAGTCACAGATCTGTATGTCTAACCTGTTGTATCTACATTGCCACACAAACATGCACTAGGATCAATGCAGCACAACTGTCAGCTGTGGGCAGAAATGGATAGCTCTTATATATTATATCAAATATGTCACAGGATGTTATGATGCACCCTAAATCCAAACAGGCTTCCAATTCATTACAGAAACTCTAAGACACAGCGACTTGAGGCCATCGAGTGCTCTTTGAACACGGTTTTCTACTTCCTCTGAAGTCTGTAATCGTCTCTGTGACTCATGGACAGAAACGTTTGGTCCAGCATTTTGATACCAAAACACTGATGTTCATCAGTTCTGCTTCTGGCATCGCTGGAGAGCAAACAATGCCTGTAAAGAGTGGGCGGGGCAGATCACCTGACAACATTTACGGTTATGTAAGACAGAGAGCAACAATATCAGTTTTTCTTGATTAATAGTGACTTACTTTTATGTAGACAGTAATTAAAAGTCAGAGAGCAGAGGACTGACGTGCAGTAAAGGTTTGGGCAGCCAGGACTCACTACTCGGGGCATTCACACTTAGGCAGTGAGTTTGTTGTGTATTGGGACAGCACATAACTTTATATAACTTTGCAGTTGCCACTAACAATCACTAAAACTGCTTTGTTGGTCTGAAAAAACATTGACTGAAAAGCATGAATTAAAACACAAATGTTCATCAGACTATAAAATAAATAAACATTACTGTCAACATCATTTGGAATAATTGTCTTGTTACACAATAAGGTCAAAGAAAAACTGAACTGCTATGACCATGAAATAACAAACTGACCGATGGGTCTCACCGTGTTTGGAAGAAGAAATGCTGCACTGTTGCACCTCAACAAGGAAGATGCCATTTCTACTGGCCACATCCGTCACAGCACCTGAGCTTGTGACTCAACTGAAATGACCAACAACATCAAAACCAAAGTGTAACGGCTGCATGTCCGGAGCATTAATACATCTTAGAGGTGGCAGTAAATACTGACAGATTTCATGTATTTGTGTATCGTTCTCATTAGGAAAGATCAGAGCGCAGAAACACTCACAGAGAAGCTCCTCATTTCAGTCGGCGGTGGCGTCACTTTGGCTAAAATGAGCGACATTAGCAGCTCATATCAGTTGTTGTCAATTAACGTTAAATTTAACGAGTAACTTGATGAAAAGTCAAAATGTGTCAGTATTAAAGTTCTAGAACTGGGCCCACAAAAAGCAGAATATTTTGGGCCCAGGGTTTTTAATGCTGTAGGATTGTTTGACCCACAAAACACAACAGTGATGTTTTCATTTTATTTCTGACCACGTCTGTTCAGTGTTCTAACGCATACATCAGCAGCCTGCACAGCTGCACGTTCTGTTCTGGTTTCATTTTGGATGTCGTTACACTTTTATCTTGTATGAAACGCTTGCGTTCCTAATCACTGTAATTTTCCAGTGCTTGATAGTCTGGTTGCTCCTCCCTGAGCCACACCTGTTCTCTACTAAAAAAAAAAGAAAACTTGGAGGACACAGACTTTAAATCTGGTTGTGAGTCTGCAGAGAAATTTATACACTAAAGACACAACATGTAACTGCCCAAAATCAAATACTTGAAACCATAACAGCAAACCAGTGTACCTGGGACACTGACTTTACCTTTAAGATTTAAAAAAAACAATAATAAAAGTGAGAAACTAACTTTTAATTATTAATATTTTTTATCAGACTAACACTGTCCCATCCACAGTGTTGTTATGTTACTGAACACGACACCGAGCCTCTCCCCTCAGATGAATGTATTCATCTGAAGGGAGAGGTGAGGTTGGGATGCAGATATGTCAGTGCTGACTGAGGAGACCACAGTGTCAGACCGTGACAACCCTGCTTTAACTTATAGCTGTAATCACATGCTTGCATGAGCACAGAATAGATTATTTAAGTTTCACTTCTGTAGCTGCAATGTCTCTTTCACTGACAGTGTTTAAACAAAATGTACACAGAGAGAAAGCTCTGTCTTGTGTGCAGCTCCAACAGTCTTTGTAGTGAAAGACAAGCACTACGCTATAATCAAAGGCTTCAGTGGCACATGCAATTAAATAATGAAGCAAAATCAGCTGACAGCCAGAACTTACAAAGCTATACAGTAAGCAAGCATACACTTCAACTTTTTCCTCAGTCATGTTCAGTCAGTTCCCGACCACGATGACCTCCAAGTCCATGAAGTACACTCAATTCTTATCAATCCATTTAGATATAATCAAATCCATCTAGCAACCCTTAGCACTTAAACAAAGCAACGGCACCAACTGCAGCATCCCTGCACCATACTACCACTGGAAGTAAGGGGTGGGGCAGTAGCAGCCATGTAGTACTGAGGGCATCTTCTTTAGGCTACAACAAAACCCTTCATTTAACAAGTGCACCAGATTAGAAAATGAGTTTTAACATGATACACTTCTGTCTCACTGGTACACTAAAGTCCACTCAGACAGATGTTTTTGTTCTAGGGGAGGTGGGCTGATTCTAAAATGAGGTGTTCTGGTCAGTGTCCAGTGTGTATGTGAGGTATTATTCACCTCCTCTCCAGTCATAATTACAGGCTAAATTATCCTGTTTTCAGCAAAATCACTTCTTCTATAATTTAAATCTTGCCCAGGGGCACATCCTTGTATTTCAAACTTTTGCTCAGCATTTAATCAGCTTGGTGTTTAATTCTACTTTAATGTGGAAATGGAGGGAGTGGAAAGTGTTTAAGCAAAGGCATGACAACATGGTAGCACCACTGGATATAGAATAGATGGATGTAACCAGTCATGTCAACCACTAGTTTGTGGATGACTGTTTTGAAGTCAAATAACGGCTGGATCTGACTGACTGAGAATTATGGGACTACTTTGGTAAATGGCCTGCACTCTTGTAGCTCCTTTCTAACTCAGTGGTACTCAGAGTGCTTTACAACATGTTTCTCATTCGCCATTTTACACACACACACACACACACACACACATTCATACACAATGGTGACAGAGCTGCCATGCAAGCTGCCTGCCTGACATTTGGAGAAACTTTGGGTTCGGTGTCGTGCCCACGGACACTTGGACTGTGGAGGGGCGGGGCATCAAACCTCTTGATTAGAGGAGAACCTGCTCTACCATCTGAGCCACTGCCACCCGTGCACAGCCAAATGGTAACAACAAGGTGTCCCTACATTAAAACACACCCTGTTTTATTCTCTATTTACCTGTAAATGGCACCATAATTTACTTGTAAGTAGTCTTGGAGACCATAAGCACATTATAGAATGTTTAATAAATCAAGTAATAAGTCGGGTCAATTTCTCATTGACTTCTATACAGTCTGACTTCTTGTAACAACCAGAGGAGTCTCCACCTGCTGGCTAAAGCTAGTTAACGTCACGTCTGTATTGACTTCACTTTTTAGACCCAGAGGCTACGCCCATCTTTTATATACAGTCTAGAGTTAGCACCAACACATAATCCCAATCAATACAAAGATGGAAAGAAATTAAAGCCACTAGTAGAGCTAAAACCTGTAAGATCGTCAGTTCTCTGTTGTGATGTCAGCTGTAGGTTGTTACTGCTATATTTTGTGCACTAGTACCATTTAAAATATGCTCAACCTGCTATTACTATGTCCTATTTGCACTGTACCCATGGATGTACAGACACATATCACTGGATTACTGTGAAACTGATGAAAACTTGAAAATAATATGATTAGTAGGCAATCTCTAAAATGTCATTTTTTCCCTAAGTGTTTACATGGACATATGTTGATCTGCAGTATTTTGCTCTGTCCTGTCTGTCCTGTTGAATTCCCATAGTCTAACAGACCTTTGTGTAAATCTGCCAGATTACTACTTGGCTCCCCTGTTCCAGTAAATTCTGAATGCTCACCTCGAGATAGAGCGGGGAACTGGAACCATGGTTCATCCTCTGGGCCAGCTGATCCCGCTGCAGAATACACTCCTCCAGGTGGATGACATTCGGGTGCTGGCTCTGGATGCTGCTCAGGGCCCAGAACTCCCGCAGGGCCAGCTCCACATTCTCCGGAGAGTGGCAGCGGATCTTCTTCACTGCCACCCGTGCTCCTGTGCGCTTCACGACTGCTTCATAGACCACGCCGTAACTGCCACGGCCCACCTCCTGGATCAGCTCGTACTTCGGCTGACTGCTTACCATCCTAGTCCTCACTGTGGAGAAACAACATGGGTGTTAATCTCATCTTGTATAAATGGCTGACTTGGCATGATGTGACTCTAAAGCCATGCAATAAAAAAAAAGCTTACAATAGTCATTAGACCCCCCAAAAATAATATTTGGGTTGAAATGTTAACTCCACATGGCAACAACATTTGACACGGGCGTTTATATTGTTGTTCAGTGTATTGATCCATGTTTTGAGTAAACCTGTCCCTTTCACTTCATACAGGGACTTTGCCTCCAGGGCGGGGCAATTAATAAAATATGATTATGAAGTGACATTTTGACTTTCACAGTGGCCCAGTTTTTCATCTTGACATGCTGGACAAAATTTTTCACAAAGGCAGTCAGCCTAACCTCAATGCACTGGAGCTGCCTTAACTTGGCTTTAACAATGAATCCAAGCGCACCTTGTTAACAAACAACCTGTCAGTGGTAGAACAAACAGAGGCCATGTCATCATTTGGAAAAGCTTTAGTAAATATGATATAGAACAGAATGAAGCTATATGCAAATACTGCAAGAAAAAAAAGTGCTGCTCTAATTGGAAATACAACAAACATCAACATCTGAAGCACAACGTATGACAAAAGTAGTGAATATACATCAAACAAAGACAATGGAAGAAAATCACAGATCTTACTTTTCCTACACAGCAAAAACAAATCTGATGAGCATCTTTGACAGAACATTTATTTCAGCAAATGCTTAACGTTGCTCTAAAAATGTGAATATGACTTAAGAAGATTCCTTCCAGAGATCGTTAGAAAGAACAAAATCATATATTCTGCTTTAAAAAGAAGCATTCCTATTGAATGTTTAATGAATTAAGGTTTTGTACAGAAGTGTATTTAAAAATAATCATTAAATCAATCATTACTGACCAAATAGATCTCCGTGATAGTGAAACGACCAGAGTGTCATCGAAGCTGATTAATCAGTCCAGCACCTTTTTTGTCAATAGCTTGGCCATCATGTATATTTATTATTATTCATCATATGTACTGATTATACTCACATCCTTTTGCTTAAAGCAACATTTCCAATGCTCGACTTTAATAGTGTAATATTTGTACTTTTATTCAAGCACAGGACCTGCATACTTCCTCCGACCACAGCTCGTCTCTGTCAATCAAGGTAAACAAAAACGTAATAATTATATGAATTACTCCACCATGTTGTTTAACCTGTTCGGTTAGCACAGCCACAAGCTGACTGCACATCCTGTTTAAAGAAGGCGGTGATGTGGACTGCTGGGTCTGTTGTGGGAAGTGAGTCTCTCCTGGTGTGAGAGTGAAGTAGCAGCACATTGCTGTAGTGTTGCACGCTCCTATAAAAGCATCCAAACCCTGCCATTAAAAGCTACACTATTCCCCTTTTTATTAGTATGGGTACTTATTAAAGAATGACGGTGTTTTAATAGAAGCCGTATTTCCTGTAGTGTGTGCAGCGCTCTGCCTCCACTCCCTGTAGGAGGAGTGGGTGTGCCAACTACGTCTGACTTTACGCAAAGCACATTACAATACTGGAGCAAGTTGTCGCCACTTTGTCGAAAAAGTAGACGCACACAGCCAAATATGCCATTAGTTCACCTACAGCAGACAGTCTAGCAAAGCCCACAGTCACCACGAAGCCTTTACAGTCTGCAAATCAACAACGCTGGCTATAAATCCATCCATCATCAGTAGCTGGAGCCGATCCCAGCCGACTCAGGAGACACCCTGGACGGGTTGCCAGTCTATCGCAGGCCTACACAGAGAGACAAACAGGCACACTCCGTGCTACGGACAATTTAGAATCACCAATTAACCCTCAGCGTGTTTCTGGACTGTGGGAGGAAGCTGGTGAGGACCCACGCTGCACGGGGAGAACATGGAGACTCCACGCAGACAGATCCCAGACGTACTAACCAGGATGCGAAACAGGGATCTTCTAGCTGTAAGGCAACGGTGCTAACCACTGAGCCACCGTGCAGCCCACCTGGCTATAAATGATCAACTAAAGTGTAATGAAATGCTTCATAGCACAAACATTGTGGTTTCTTTTCAGGTTTCTTAAACATTTTGGGGTTTATCTTGGCTACTTCCCTGTAATGATAGAGGAATCCAATCTAATCCTTGTTGAGCATGTTGTGGTGGTATTTGTTACACTAAACTGATTGTTAAGAGACAATCACACAGTTTCTCCTGTTTACCTGGAAATCACGCAGTTCAACAATGGCTGCATAAGTTCACTAGAAATAACGCCAGTCTCATGATTAATTCAGACAAATGCGTCAGGAGATGGAAGACATGCAGACATTCAACTTGCATGTCTAATGGTGCAGATTGATATCATTAGATGTGCGATAGATGTTTGAAGTACATTTCAAGAATGGCACAAAATATCAGCGTTATGTCGCTGCCTTGTTTGGGTATCTAAAACAAGCGTGAATGAAATTTGTTTATTATTTTGTTGATAAGCAGAATTTATTTAGTTTTCTTTACATTTTAGTTTGCTGAACATGTCGTTGCTTTCTGGAAACTGGACAGCGACGCCTATGAGCCTCTAAGCTCAAGCTAATATGTGGCCTCTGCAGTCTGAGATAGCCTAATCAAGTGGGACGCTTCCAAAGTTTTTGTGTTTTTAACAGAAAATTCCCCTTTCTAAAACGAGGTGGGTTACCATCCACTGGCCGTATATAAACATGAACAACATGACTGCTCCTAGAAGTGAAGTCAATATATCTTGAAAATGGAAACTACAAGCTGTTGCTTTGTGTCATCGGACTCGAGGTACTACCTCCTGCTCAGTCCTACGCCAAGTTTTGAACTCAACCAAACTATTGGGAAAAGCTAAGGATGAGTAGCTAGCTAGTTACATAGCTGGCATTTTCGAATTATATTTAACTATGAAAATTATATAGCAAGGATCCATGGCAGCCCAAGACAGGACTGCAGTGGTCGTGCTTACATGGCGTTGAAGGAGGTGGACACTCAATACCATGTCTCCACTCCCAGTTGAGTCTGCTTGCAAATAGCATCACCAGCACCAGATTGCCCATGCTCAAGGTCTTTTGGATTTACCTTTGTCCACTGGTAGGAAGTGGTGGCACATCAGCCATCTTTATTTACACCCTGTGGTATAGTCTTACTCGCAGCTGCAGGTTTTGTTCTAATAGTGACGATTACAGTGGCCAAAACACAAATGGATTCTGAAGTACTGCAAAAAGACAGACTAGATAAACAATTAAAACCTGTCCTGTAAGATAAACAAAACCCTTAGCTGTCATTAACAGTGACTTCTTTTTGATTGCTCCCCAGCAGTGCCCACTTGATGAGCATGCTGGTGCGAGAAGGTGGGTGGTGCTGTGATAGATAACGGACGTGTGCTCTGGTTCCCTGAAGTGTAAGCACATTTCTCAGCATCCTTTGCCGTTTCTCTTCTTATCACTCCAATACACTGGCAGATGACATATATAATGTGAAAACAGCAGTTATGAATCTCTCAGCCATTGAAATCACAAAATAAAGGACCACATATCAGCCCTGCTCACAATACGGCATGTCCAAGGTGACCACCACACAATCAGACTATCTATTAAAGCAACAAAAGCTACCACTGTGGACACCACATCTCACAAACTGGTTTCTGTTACAGTGTTATTATGTGACAAGGGTGAGATGTTCACGGTTGCATGTCCCTGCATACAGCGTGCTCGTCCTCCAATATGCAGTGCATTCCACAAACTGATGCATGTAACGCACAGCTGTTCACACTAAAAACAACAAGTACATAATATATACCAAACTAGTGGATCTCCAAGTGTCCTATAAGTCCCACTCATTCATAGAATCCTCACTCACCTGTCAAAGCACAACACAGCTGCTCTCTCTTTTACTGATCAAGGTCTTAATGAGGTTTCTAACAATTAGGTGCAAAGAATACAAATATGAGGCATTTTTAAAAAGCAAAAGTACATTTTAAGAGAAACTTGAGCCACGTGTCAAATTATTTTAAATCACATTTAATAGTCCAAAACAATTCAGAAAACATTCTACTTGAAGAAGTGGAAATTGAAACTGTGATCGTTTTGCTTCTTAAAATAAAAGATTCGATTAAAAATAAAAATTAAAAAAAGGGAATTGTACATTAAATTTGCTGACAGTTAATTATTTAAATATAATTTCAGCATTTGACCTTAAATGAAAATCACTGTTTCACAAATTCACTGTGTATTTGCATTAAGGAACAGAACTGTAATGATAATAATATAAAAACCTATTCCAGTGTTATTTTAATACATATGACCATTTAAATGAGAATTTAAAAACATTGAGTCGGATTTGGAACAAAATATAAGTAAGTTGTGCATTAACTGTTTACCTGCCAAACTGGAAACCACTGGACACTGACAACGTTACACACCTGCCAGTATATTCAATGGACTAGCCAGAAAACTTAAATTAAATGGTAAGAGACGTGATGCTGTGACATTGGGAGATGACAAATATCTCCGAAAAGTCTGCAACAAAAAGCTGCGTCCCAGACATAAAGACTGATAGCCAGCATGCTAACGGGCTAATTAACGTCCACTGGGCTGATTGGCTAAGAGGCTAACAGCTCTGTGGCCTGGACACCGTCAGCTAACGATGTTGTTGGTTAGCTAACGTTAGCTAATCACGTTAACAGCAGCTAACAAAGAGTCCAGCTATCGCCTCCACCATCGACACATACGTCGGCATCCAGCTTACATAATTTAAATCTAAAACAAGTTCACTGCTCTCAAACTGCACCAGCGGCGGGGCACGGAGGAGGCACGCGTGGTAAGTACAAGGTATTGACAGTTTATTGTCCTGTGTGTGCGTGTGCGAGAGTACGTGTGTGTATACGTGTATGTGTGCGTGTGCGTATGTGTGTGTGTGTGTGTGTGTGTGTGTGTGTGTGTGCCATCAAGAAATCAGCCCCAAAACACACACACACACCTGCAAGCCAAGTAGCCACAGCAGACAAGACAATAGTGTGAATGTGTCGGAGGCTGCACTTGTTAGCCCGCAGGCTGTCATGATATCAGGCTCACCTTTGAATCGCTTCTCAGGGGTTCATTTGTTGTCTTCCTCACTCTCCCTGGCAGCCATTACCGCCGCACACGTTCTGCTCTACAGTCACACCGACGAGCTTCAGTCAAACACTGGACGTGAGCGCGTGCAGCTGCTGCGCAGCGGCGGACAGAGGGGAGCGACTTCCGGCGAGACGTTTCAAAATAAAGTCCCCCCAAAAAAGAGGGACGTGTTTAAACAAATGTGCAGCCATGTAGCACCTGGGCATATCAGTGATCCATATAAAACTATAGCTCTATAAACTGTGTGATATTCCAGTGGAGTCAATATCTGAAACTTTAATTCTATTAAAAGTGTCGATAACAAAATTTAACATAATGTATTAGTTAAGCCTCAACACAGATCATTAGGAGCTTCCATTAATAAAGGACTTACATCCTCCCATTGCACTGTTTTTTGTAAGTTGCTGTCTAACTATTTTAAACAAAATACATACAGATAAACAAAACTGATCACCCAAGTCGTTGATATAATACACTTGCAAAAGTCTCATTCGACCAAACAGAGGTGTAATTTGTATTTTCACTGTTACATATTTGTAATGTAGTCTTTTCTCCCCCCCTCTACCTTCTTTGCTCCAAACATGTCAATTCATGCAATATGTTTGAAGGAAAAACAGACAACTTCCGGTCTTTTCCCGGACTAAGTTTGTCTAACTTTATAGAGTCAATGAAATGCGGACAGCGTCTCTCCACCCCCCTCACCCCCACCCCCCAAACCGACCTGTCATTTACAGGGGGTGGACACAATAACAAGCACACCTGCACACATGCATGCAGCCCAGTGCGGTGGCCTTGTAGTCATTTCTAAAACATACCACCACTAATCACTGTGGAAATAATGACAAAGAAGTGTGTTCCCATTCAGTGCAGACTGGGGGGTGAAGCCCACCACTATAGTTTCCTTGCTGACATATACAGTCCAATTTCATGACTTTTCTAGGATGATACTTGGCTGATCTTTACATAGTATCGGAACCATTTTACTGATGTGAGGAAATCAAAAGAAATGGTTTTGGGGTGCTTTGATGTCATATTTTGACAATAAAAAAAAGTCACTGTGTTTTTCTAAAGACATACATATAAAAACTTTGGAGAATTGTGCATTAGTGTGAACATAAGACAACTATTTTTGTTTTAATATGTAAAAATTCAGAGTAGAACATTTGGGGGATTTTAATAATCAATAATATTATAGTGAAGTCACAACTTCTGAATAAAACCTGTCAGTTCTAAATTAATTGACACAATCAACACATCTGAAAAATCTAAAATAATTCCTGTATGTGTTTGCTAACACTGATGACAGTGAACATGTGACAGTCAAAGCCAGAGTAGCATCAAGTATTGATACATAATACATAATCTATAATCTATAATCTAATTACTAATGAAGCTAGATTCCGTCCAGGGGTTTCTTCTCCTGGTTGGAGGAGAAGACCCACTGAAAATGAACACATTCCAGCTCTGATTCCAGGTTCTACTTGGATCAGACTCATTCCCTCACTGCTAAGTCGTGTCTCATCTTCTGTGACCCGCCGTCTGATTTCATCAACTCAACTGAGTTCCTTTGGCTCGAAGTGGCAACAGAAAATAGTCTTGTTAATAGAAATGTGCTTTATAGACTACATACTTTTCTTTCGATTAATTAATTTTTAACACACAACACGTTGGCCTCCAAGTTCTCTGTCTACTGGTTCCAGCAGACGTACTGTTGAAGGCTCATCTGAAGCTTCAGAGGGTCCTGGAGCCCTGAAGGAAAGGATTTTAGTCCTTTTTCCTTTTTTTCAGCTGTCCTGATGCATGTAGCCTGCTGCTTTTGTTTTAAATAGATAAATAGTGTTTATTTTTAATCTAATTATTTTTCTTTTTATTTATGTTATGTACAGCCATCTAGTGAAGAATGAAAGCTGTGATTTTTCCTGGCTTCCTCCTCAGAAGTTCTTATTTTATCGACTGAGATAATACGGTGTGCTGTAGATTACCCTGAAGGAGGCAGTTTGTGCCATTATGAGTGGCTTGTTACCCTGCTTTATTCTGACATGCACAAGTATTGTCTATGTTTTTAGAATTTTGTCACCAAATAGGAATCTGAATAAAGGACATTTAACTTCTAACAGGAAGTCCCACCCTGCAAAATTGACAAGATTGGTTCCTGAGGTTTGCTGCACATGAAACCCAGAAAATCTGAATGTGTGTTTTTGAGACTGCAGGTTCAGGTGGAAATACTCAGCCATGGCATTGACTGCAGATTTAGCATACATCTTCTACCATATAAAAGACAGGATGCAGACATGTTAACATGGTAAAAACAAGGAGACTTAGACTCTGACACCATCATGAAGTTTGCTGACGACACAGCAGTGGTGGGTCTGATCTCCAACAACAACAAGGAGGACTAAGTGATGGAGATCATCCACCTGGAGGACTGGTGCAGAGACAACAGCCTCCTCCTGAACGTCAGCAAGACTAAAGAGCTGATTGTGGACATCAGCAAGAAGCAGCAGAGGGCATACCACCCACAGAGGATCAGCGGGACAGAGGTGGAGCGAGTGGAGAGCTTCAGGTACCTGGGTGTCAACATCACCAGGACCTGACGTGGTCCTGTCACATCAACGAAGGCTCAACACCATCTCTACTTCCTTCGGGCTTTAAGCTCCCTCTCAAGATGCTCAGGAGCTTCTACACCTGCACCATCGAGTGTTTTGGCTGGAAGTATCACCACCTGGATGGGCAGCAGCACCCAGCAGGACCTCTTGGCCCTGAGGAGGGTGGTCCGCTCCATCAGAACCAACCTCCCCAACCTGCAGGACATTTACACTAAACAATGCAGGTTAAAGGCAGGAAGATTGTGAGTGAACCCACCCATCCCAGCCACAGACTGTTCTCTCTGCTGCCACCAGGGCGGCGTTACCGCTGCCTGAAGGCAAACAGAGAGAGGATGAGGAGGAGCTTCTTCCCTCAGGCTGTCCACCTGCTGAACCTCAAACAACAGACAATCAAACTTGTCACTTGCACTTTCACCTTGTATATATATATCCATCCATCCATTATCTATACACCGCTTAATCCTCACTAGGGTCATGGGGGGCTGGAGTCTATCCCAGCTGACTCAGGGTGAAGGCAGGTTCACCTGGACAGGTAACCAGTCTATCACAGGGCTACACTTAGAGACAGACAACCAAGCACACTCACATTCACACCTACGGACAATTTAGAATCACCAATTAACCTCAACATGCTACACGGGGAGAACATGCAAACTCCACGCAGAAAGATCCCGGGTGTCCTCACTGGGATGCGAACCAGCGACCATCTAGCTTCGAGGCAACAGTGCTGACCACTGATCCACCTTGCAGCCCTTTCCTTGATGCAGTTCAGCCTAAAATTTCAGGAGCTGCTGTCACATTGTATCACTGAATAACCACCTTTTGGTGAGGAGCACAACCACTAGAGGGCACCACAGGCCAACTTTATGCCTGATGTAAATACATTCAGGAGAGAATAACTTTCCCCTTGGTATTAACGACTGACTTTCAGATGGTTAAAATGTCATGAAGACACAAGAAATGTAAGGACAAGCAATTAGGCTGTGCCCACAATTACACACACATTTATGGCAATGATACCTCAAGTGGCAAAACTACATCTACAAACCTTGTTTTATCTGTGAATTGTGATCTTTTAAAACAAAATATGTCCATCCTGTGTAAGTACAGCAAAATCCTGCTAAATCAGTAGCAGCAAAATTTACTTGTTATCATTCTGAAGAATTACTAAAAGCAATAGTTTTGTTTTTCCACAGAAAATATAACATTGCTTATCCTGTGTGCCTGTGGAGGACTCAGAGTCTCCACTTCCTGTGGAGGCTGAGAAAAGCCCACCTCCCAACCCCCATACTGACACTTTTAGTTTGTTTGCAGTTGTTTGTTTTGAAAAATTCAAAATTCAATAAAAAGTATTATTAAAAAAAAAAAAAAAAAAAAGTGGCACCTGTTGTAGATGCAGTGGCACCATCACCACCCTCAGGCATCCAAGACAACCCTGATGGGACCACTGCCCTGATCAGTGTTCATCAGGAGCAGTCACCAGAGGTCACCTGAAAGGAGACAGTGGTCACTGTGGCAACGACACCATCCTTAAAGTCCATGACGTCCCAGACAAGACTATTGCCGTGTTCAACATTTGTCAGTCTTTAAGCCCACATTGATGAATAAAATGATAATGCAGAGGTCAACTTTTAAACAGTTTTTAATCTCTGCTACTTTGATATTGCAGGTTCTGACTAACAGGTTAATAATGTGAACTCTGACAGTCATCAGTACAAGGTTTAGATACAAGAAACAGACAATGTCATACAAGTCTTTTGTACGTTTGATCTTTAATTTCTTGTTGTTTTGCAGCAAATTATTTTAGTTGCAGGCACAAACTGCACTTTGTGTCAACTTCTCTTGTTTGAAATGTGAAATATGAATAAAGGAGACTTGACTTGGCAGAAGAAACGCAAAGCAAGAAGATAATAACAAAAGTAGAGAAATCATTGAATTCATAAGGCTACAGTGTGTGTTCAGTACAACCCTGAGTTAGACACACATACACAAGGCAGTCAACATGAACATGTAAATGCAGACATACTTCACCTGCACAGATATCGTGACACATTGTGGTGTTATAGCGATCTGAAAACAATGCAAAGAAGCATCACTTTGGTTTTACGTACAGGATCTCATTCTTTTGTCAGCAACAACAACAAGCATAAAGATAAATACTTTTTTGAGGAAACACAAACATTAAATAAAAAAGAAGTAATAAATATTGAAACAGACCAGTAAAAAAAATTACAATTTTTTTTTTTACAATTCATACAAACTGGTTTTTGGACCTGCTGTTCCCCAGCTGTCCATTAAAAAACCAGAACCGCACCTGAGGTAGACTTGTATAGATTTTTGACAAGACAATTTCTGTCCTGGTCGCACATATTAAGCAATAAACACAACAAAACAAACAAACAAATACAACCCACAGGAACTGGGTTTAAGTTGGAGGATTATGTAAGGTAGATAGATGTCACTGTACTGCAGCACCGGGAGCATCACGGTGAATCCAAGCACATAACTGACAACATAACAATCCTTAATGATCGATACTGATGCTTTTGAACACTTTGAATGCTCTGCTGTCAGTGAATGCATCCACCAGTCCTCCTAACATGAAAAACTACTTATTATTCTACTCATTATCATGCAGACACACAGTGAACAGTTTAGGAATCCTGTAGACAACACTGGCTATGTACAATAAGGAAACATGGTGACTTTTACAATCTACTGCCACGGCAAATCTAATCAGTGTATTTCCCAAAATGTTGAGCAATTTTACACATTCATTAAGTAAAATAAACAAAGAATGTACGTAAAGATTTAACTGTGAAAAGACTGGACATTGCTGTAGCTAGGTTGGCTAGCTCAGTGGCTACAGATGTTATGGTGTTAAGCCTCATCTATCCCACAGTGGCAAACAGGAAGTACAAATAGTAAAGTTTGTGTCCACATGCTGACTATGCTACTAGGGCAATAGTGCACATGCACCCAGGTAGTGTCTCCCACGTGCACTCCAGTGAACCAGAACAGGTCTCTACGTGGAACGGTGTCTGCAGCTGTCCATGTGCACATCCGGAAGGCTTTATTCTTTTCTTCATGACTTCTCCTACATACAGATTTAATGGTTATAGTACTCTTTCTGAGATTCAAAAACTGAAATATGCTTAGTATTGCCATTACACTGTAGAAGATGACAATTACAAATTCTGCGATATTTGGCTTCAACTTGGTGCAGTGGAAAGAACTGGTGATGCATCGTCCATCTTCATGTACAGTCAGTGGTTGATGGGGTTTAGAGTCGATGAGTCCTTTAAGTCATAGAAGGTTATTGCAGTGCTGTTGTTCTGTTCTCAAGCAGAAGATGACAGTGCATGGCTACGTTAGCAATCAGTGCACCGGGTCTTCCTGCAAACCCAAGACAATTAATAACTTCAGCATTTAGACACATCGTAAGAGAAACCATCAGAAAGTTTCTCCCTGAATTTAAATAAACTGAGAGTGGGCTAAGATCACAGTAAAAGCAGTTTAACGGGCACAATTAGTAAAATTAAACTCTAGGATGTTTTTTTTTTCTGTACAGCGACATTCAAGTAAACATACATTTACAACATGACACTGTCAATAAATAATTACACTGGAAATGTCAGAATTCATCAAGTTAGTGACGTTCTCCACAGTCTGTGTACTGAGAATGTCAAACCTTTGCACCGTTGTGTTGGATTGGTTGCGAATATCCTCAAATATTTCTGAATCACAGCACAGGGAGAGCACCTCTGAATAAATAGTTAATATAAAAAAGATAATATCTATATACATGTAGCTGCTTCACCACAATAAGGAAAGGTCTAAAACAACAATAAAAAAAAAAAGCTTCTTCTTTCTCACCTTCAGCTTTCAAGCACATGTGACTGAACATTGTGAGAAGAAATCCCTGATACATAGAAAAAATATTCCCTTTGGATAAATACAGTTGTGCAGACAAAGCCTGCCGTACAATCAACGCTGGTCTTGCATATAAATTTAATAGCAACATGGAAAGTTGGAAATTCAGACATAAATGTTACCACTAATGGAAAAGGGAGTGTGGTGAACTAGTTTCTACTGGAATACGACATTTAAAAGCAGCTTTCCTCAACTCCACTGGAAGGTGGAGGATATGGCACGAGTGTTGAGACATTCAGGTTTCACTGTGTTACCTGAAAATGTTTTCTCATACAGGCAGACACAAATACTTCTAATACCATTAAAGTATTTGGTAGCCTAGGATATGTTTTTGTCTTTACATTCACTTGCTCGGTTGTTTAATTACCTATTAATGCAGCTGTTGAGAATTTGAGAGAAAAACTCAATATTTTATGATTGAAGTTGTCATTTTCTTGCCACTGGTTCCATGAGTTTAGTTATCTGAATGGAAAACACATCCAAGAAAAAAATCCCTCTGAAAGCAGCATATGATCTTTTTCTTTCTTTCTTTTTTTTTAGAGTAGACATGTTGATTTGTCATCGTAGTAAAAGGACAAATGAAACTAATACCAGTACCTACAGTAATTAGTTCTGATGAGGTGTCCTGCTAAGACAGGGCCTAATCAGCTAACATCCAAAGCAGTACAGCCATCATTAGTGTTATTAAGTCCACCTGTGCTTTAGCTGTTAATGAAACTGCAAAACATCTGCTGTAGAAAGTGGTTTGCCAAAACCATCATGCAAGTTTTTCTGACAATTATTTGCGGCCCATAGATCAGTCAAGCACCTTCTTGTTCTTTAGGCCAACTTCTTTTACACCCCGTACATGTAATGTTTAGAGATCTGTAATCCGTAAAGACGTTTGTATTTGTATTGTGTATAAAGGCTCAGGTAACAGAGGCACTCTGCAATCAGTCCAAACAGGGACCGTCTGTGGCTACAACATGGCTGCATCAACAGTACGTTTGATTGTATCGTTCCAAAGCTAAGACACTTATCTGAGGCAGGAAATAAAACGACACTGAAAGTTTTAAAAGAGGATCTGTCTGTCATTACTCACGAAGCTTCACATCAGTACGACGGTGATGTTTCTGTCTGTTGTTCAATAAATAAAGCTCTGAGGTAGCTCTTTCTAGAAGTTCCTGTGAAAAACTCAGTTTCCCTGATTTGTTCACTCAGAGTCGTCAGAGCAGGTGGTTGGAGTTTCCTCCACCCTCTGTGAGGCTGCCACGCCCGGAGAGCCCAGAGATGACTGCTGCTGCTGCTGTGCTTTGACTGGACAGCTGGCCACCATGTGGGAAACGCTCTGGCAGAAGTGGCACTTTTTGGGCTGAGGGGGCAGCTGGCACTCTTTGGCATGATGGCCGGGACCTCCACAGTTGTAGCATCTAAAAGAACAAGTTTGAAAATAATTACTTTACTGTTAAATAAGAGCAAATGCGAATAATACATAAGACACAGAGAATGGACAGTAAAACAAAGTCCTGCATGTTTTATGATGATGATGATGATGATGATGATGATGATGATGATGATGATGTATATATGTATGATGTATGTAGCAAACCTAAGGAACCAATTCTGTTTTCCACTTGCAGGGTGGTGCCTTTTTTTTTTAAATCAATATCTTATTAGAATTTGTTTGTGAATTGTTCCGTCATCACAACGTGCAGCTGTGTCGTGTAGATTAGTGTCAGAGTGTTTAAACAGAGTCGTAGATGAGTTGTTGTGCTGAGCTGAGGGTCGGGGTGGAGACACACAACCACCTCATAGATCTGCACATTTAAACAAAGCACCAGTGTAGAGTTACATCTCAGCCATTTGAAGGTAGTCAGGGATTATTTTCATTCATGGAAAAAAACTTCTACATGAATAACTTTGATGCACAGAGATGATTTTTTTTTTTAGTTTAATTAACGACTACTCCTAGATACACTGATTGATTCTTTTTGAAATTACTTTAGTCCATTTAACAGTTTTCACAAGCAGCTGCTCCACATTTACCACCTAACAGAACTGACTGAAGTTCCTCATGTGCTGTTGTTAAATTCATCCACTAGAGGGAAGCACACCCCACGCTTGGCCTTCATGTTCACTCAACACGTTTGTCTGTCGGCTTTGGATTTGGCAGAACACATTTTACAATCACACTTTTATGTCACTATGACATATTTTAGATTTAAATCCCAATATTAAAATATTAGTTAATGAAGTTTCAAATCAAACTGAAACATTTAACAGAACAGTTTAATCACATGGTCACGTTATCATTTGGTTCCACTGAGAGCCAAGAGAAAACTGGGGATTGTGCAGCTACGTGTCACTTCAGCACTGGATCTAATGATCAGAAGCAAAGTAGATCCTGTTTGAATTCATTAGGGAAGGCTAAATTTGAAAAAAAAAAGGTCCAAGCATTGTGTTGTGTGACTGTTCAAACAGAAGCTATTGATTTTTTTGTCTATTGAGAACATGGATCGTATTGGCTCCGGCTTTTCCCGTTGCTCCCCATCTGTGGCCTAACAAGCAAATTAATCAAGTGGGTCCCTAAACATCACATAGCATGAATAACCTCTTCCAAAGACATCACATCCAAAGCAACTGTACTTGTCATAAAAAGGTTTTTTAAGAGTATTGAACTGTAACATACAGGGGCTGGAAGACAGCTCAAATATCACAATAATATTTTTTGTGTTTCTCCCACATTTGATAATATTTTATTAAGTTCGATCAGCACAATTTGTTTTTCATTCACTTCACTCTACATTGAAACTCCTGTTGTTTTAAAGGTCCGTTCATGCTCTATTCAAACACGTATTCAAAGCTCAGCAGCCTTGCACTTAATCTTCCAGTCTGCTGACTAACACCATGGATGCTGTCGTAGAAAACAAAAGGCTGATATCTGATATATTTTAAGGACAAACTTTAATATAAATCTTGAAACTGAAGAGATGAAAATGGGAAAATATCGAATGAATGCTCAAAAATGAAATAATACAACTCTGAACATGTGTTTGTTTTTTGTTTTCTTTTTTAAAAAGACTTAGACTCTTAATAAGACCAGTTTGGAACTAAGAGCCACAGGCAGAGGAGGAAAGTCGGAGAGCGTTGAGAGACAGACCAACACATTGTTTTAGCCTTTTTATGGGATTTCTTTCACTATAGAGATGTTACAGAATAACAACAGCCTTCCCATCAGCTACACAGTATAGTAAATTCTTTTTTTATTTTTAATAATTCAGACTGATTCCATTGCCTGAATGTTGTGCTGTGCTCCTGTCAATTACTTTTACTATTTATTACTTTTAGTTATCTATTTAAACTAATTATCTTTTGCGTTTGGATAAATATATCCGTTACTTTTAATTGCTTGAGCTGTATATCTATATATATTGTATAAAATATATGTTATATTGATTATAAAAAAAAAAAAAAAGTGAGCTTTTACAAGATTGAATTTCCCTTCTGGGATAAATAAAGTACTTGTCATTTCATTTCATTTCATTTCATTTCATATCAGCGAGCTATTTCAAACATTTACAGCACTGAGCTGTATAGTCATATATCTTCTATATAAGCTATTTAAACCAATTACTTTTCACTAACTATTACTACTTCAACCATTACTTTTAACAAACTGTTAAGACTTCTCTGCTTTACAACCTAGATTCATGCACTCTCGATTAACAGGGATAACTGATTCATTGCAGACTTCCTTTTTAATTAAATCTCCCAAATGTGAGTTTTAGTTGAACTCAACTTTCCAGCTGCCTCTTGGACACTGGAACAGAAGCTGTGTTGGGAATCGCTGCTCTACGGTGCAGAGGAATAAAACGTATCAGGCTTTGGATGCCAATAAGACAAATACAGGATGAGAGTTGTTTTTTAAATAAGTTCCCGCTGTGAGATGTGCAGTGATGAAAGGCAGACGGAGCCCTGCGACCTCTCACGGCTCACCAACCCCCATACCAGGCTCAGTATTGATCAGCGTGGCCATGAGGGTGGCAGAGGGAGCTCCTTTGTTTCTAAACTCTAGTGACCTCTGACTCCCTGCCCCTCCCACCCCCCCCTCCACCTCATTTGCACTCCACACCCCATTGTTGCCATGGCAGCGGTGACCTCTGACCTCTCACAGGCACCTACATCTGTGATCAATTAAATGGATCGGATCCCTTCCTCTTCTGAATACAACATTTATGTTTGGGAGAAAAGAGGGAACATGTGAATGCAATCAAATCTATAGCAGCTATTTAAGGGCAGGAAGCTGTGGATTTACTTTTATCAATGCCCAGCATGATTAATGAAGTTCAGCTTAATAAGATGTTATCACATTAATAACCTCGTCAGATCCTAATGACCTACAATCTACAAATCAGTCTCTTTTATTCCTCTGACTGCAACATTTCTGTTTGGGAACCAGCGAGAAGACGAAACATCTGAATGCAATCAAATCTAGCAGGTATTTAAAGACAGGAAGATGTGGGCCTCATTTTATCGCTGCCAGCCATGATTAATATGGGCAGACCTACTAGATGCCTATCAAATGAACAGCTTCACTGGATCTTAATTGCCGAAACAAGCTTCAAAGTCACAGACTGCAGTCGCAAATAAATGTGAGTTTGCTCCAGAAGCATTTATCGATTCATAATATATTAACAAACTTTGAACTGATAAAGGTGAGCTGTGGTTTGCACAGACAGCAATAACAAAAGAGGAGTCTTGGGAGAAACCCATCGACTGAATGATCAAGTTCAGCTTGTTGCACCACAAAGAGGCACATTTATGCAATAAAACACTGATAACTCATATTTATAAAAGTGCAGGTAGATGCACTTGTTGGTGATTCAAACCAGTCGTTTCAGGTATTTTCTAAAGTCAAGGAAAAGTTTCAGTTTCTTGTTTTAAGATGCAAACTGTAATTTTTGGAAGACCCTTGAAAATGTATATAAATGCCAAAAAGACTAATGTAAGGGCAACCAAACAGTTACATACCACACAGGAACACATGCTCCAATCAGTGAGTCTCTGGTCTGAATCCTGGCAAGGCAGAACATTTACTGAATGCCATTCTCCTGCTCTCTGTCCATACATTTCCAACCTCTCTCCACTGTATCTATCGAATAGAGGTCAAATCCCTCAAAGCTAAGATGTTCTCAGCAGCGCTGGTAGATTTGTCTTACTTTTATTAAAATAAATAGGATTTTTGGAATGCAATCATAAACTGTGTTTTGTTTATGAGGAAGTGGTCAACTGTAGTTTTAAATTTTAAACAAACTACACCCAGAATAAATGATGTTTCACAAACTGTTGAGATACTGTGGGATATTCCATTGTGCATGCAGGTTTTCTCAGACTAGACTTACTTGTCACCCTTAGAACGTCGTTTCTGAGCACTCTTTGGTCTCCTCTCGTTGCCCAGACATGGTGCTCCATCAGGCCCAGTGACCCATACAGACTCCAGCCCTTTGGATGATTTTTTGAAGGTGAACTCCACCGTCTCACCTTCTCTGAGGCTGCGGAAGCCTTCCATGTGCAGTTTGCTCTGTTGAGGAAATAGTAAATTTATTGGGGTATTAAGCAGGTATCACAGGCTGCTGGGCAGTGACAAAGCCTGGCACTTGAATAGACGTGACCAGACTCCATCACTCACACTGTGGCGGCACAGAAGCTGATACTGGCCGCCATGTAGAAGTACACCACGGCATATATACCACTCACATACTGTAAGCCTTTTTATGTAACCCCCAAATTATTAAAGAAAAATCTGAAACAGCTCTTCCATGCAACGCCTTTTGAACTGTGGATATTGTGATTTAAAACACATTAGGGTCAGGATGTGACTCCAGGTCTATAAATATATGTGTAGTTGTGTCAGGTGGCCAGAGTGGTGGCCGAGCCCAGCCCAGGCCACGCCGTCACTCCATTCCTGACACATGGATGGATATATAAGATGCAAACTGTGTAATGTTCTCCTACAAACCAGCAAGATGGGTTTTACCCAGTTGTTATGAATACTGGACTTTCTGAGCAAGTCTCATGTGCTGAGGAACATTATGAAATAAGATCAGAAGTTACAGAACTTCTAATCAGTGCGCTGTGATGAGACACACTAAAGAACTTAAACATTTATTTACACCAGGCATCATCGATTCAAATAAAAATAAGTTTGGCCTCAGTGCATATTTTTGAGGCAAGCTTTACATCTCATCGACAGTGATGCACCAGAATCATATCTAGTTTTCAAATTTGTCTGCAGCCTGGTTTTCATCCAAATATTTTTTTGATCTAAATTCTGAATACATTTTCAGAAAATCTGCAAAAGGAAATGCCAATCAGTGTATTTTCTCCCGTACTGTTAGATCAGTATTAGGTGTCAGCCAAGTGGCAACCTCCACGGCTGAAAAATAAATTCAATGTCGAGTGACCTGCAGTTCTTCTAATGTCCACTTGAGGCTGATTTCAGAAGTGACTCTGTTCCCACAGACCTCCACGTTAACATGTTTAACTTTACAGCAGAAATAAACATGTTTTCAGCTTGGTACAAAAATGGTTTTGGTCTGAATAGCTAATTTCCCCTTTCATGACACCTGAACATTTGGATCATTTTTCATACAACTTAGCTGTTTAAAGTGCTTAAAGTGATGTCCATCTATTTTCCAACATAAAGACATTTTCGTGACACTTTGAGTGTTTTCTTGTTCATTCGTTGTTGTTTTTGTCACATTTTCAGTGCATCCACTTAGTTCTTTGCGCAATCTGAAAATGTGCATCAAACTGTCAGATAAAGGCATTTACTCCTGTAATCGGTGTCTTGACATTGGTGCGTATACATCTAATTACTCACTACTTTAGAAAATAAGACTAAAGCATTATTCTGTGACTGCTGCATTGTTATGCCAAACTGAAAATTAAGAGCAGTTCAGTGTGTCCAGTGTGGAAATACTCACATTATGACCAAGTGTCTTCAGATTACATGAATGGAATCCATGTTTTTATCATTACAATTTGAGCCATTTTGTCCAAAACATCTGAGTCACAAAGAGACTACATATATGTGTGCAGGCCATCACTTACACTGACTTTAAGTTCACTGTTTTAGGTCAGACTTTCTTATAAATGTGGCTATTTAGCTATTTAGGTTCTTGATGTACAAGATATGCAGTTGCCAACAGTGAGTGCACACCTGAGACAAAGGTATAAATGCTGCATTAATTAAAACATGTCGTCACTGAATCCTCTGCTTCCTCGTTAAAGTCCACCAGCCCTGTTAAAACATCAGTGCTTTCACACAAACCTCCTCTCCTCTTGTGTCTCCAAACAAACTTCCAAAGCATTCTTAACCTCAACCCCCTCTGCTTGCTCAGCACCACCACCAATCTGTCCATCTGCTCAAGCCTCCAACTGACCACTGCACTGAAGGATGCTGGGAAATGACACAGGGGAAGAGTGCATTTCTGGGATGGTTACCAGAGGAAGTGGAAGGAAGGAGAAGAGGAAGTCATGCATCAGCATAGTTTGACTAAAAAGGATAAAAATGATTTATTCTGTAACTCAGATGTAATGAGGATGAGGGTTACGGAGAGGGCTGGAAATGTTTGAACTCAGTCTGAAGGTTTTGAAAGCTAGAATGCATTTTGTGCCTTATTTCAAGAGTAGTTTGTATAAAATCAAATGCTGCACAAACTCTCTGTTGTAACTGAGTTAAAAGATAAATCAATAAATCCCATTAAAAGACCAAAATGACAAAAAATTGCTCTCACTAAGTAACGTCTGTGAGGCCAAACCCTGATAAACAATATTTATATCACTGACCTCCTTGTTCCAGGTAAACTTAAAGCAGCTGTTTCTTCTCCCTTGTTTTTGGCTTGAAATTACATTTCACTAGTTTGCAGGTTATTCTGTGTGCTCGGGGAGCTTTGCCAGATGAAACAAATCAGTTAGTCTAAGTCCAGGCATGGCTGAAGGACGTAAAGGCCTGGATGACCTGTCATCTTTAATAACAGAATTTATTGTATTTTGTCCTGAATACCTCAGAAACACACTTTCTAACCAGATAGATGGCGCTGCATTGGCCTCCAGTTCTACTGTAAGTAACCTTGGAGTTGTTTTTTTTACCAGGACATGTCCTTTAACTCATACATAAAACAGGACAGCTTTCTTTCACCTGCGTGATATTGTCAAAATCAGGACCAACCTGTCTCAGAGCAGTGCTGTGAAGACCCAATGCCTGCATCTGTAATCTCTACGCTGAACGACCATACATCATTATTATCTGGATGTCCAGTTAATTTTCTTAAAAACCTCCACTTGATCCAAAATGCTTCAGCCAGAGTTCTGGCAGGAACCAGTAAGAGAGATCATATTTCTCCCATATTGGCTTCTCTTTAATGGCTTCCTGTGAAATCCAGGATAGAAGTTGAAAATCCTTCTTCTAATATGTAAGTCTCTTAATGACCAAGCACCATCTTATCATACAGACCTTATTGTACCGTATCATCCTGACAGAGCTCTTCTCTCTCAGACTGCAGGTTTACTTGTGTTTGCCAGAGTTTCCAGAAGCAGAGCAGGAGGCAGAGGCTTCAGTTATCAGCTCCTCTGCTGTCATTCTGACAGTCAGACACTTTCTACAGTGATTGTACAGCAGCAATGTGTCTCACTGCATCAGACGTTCCATCATTCACCATTTTATTGTAAGAATACAATAATAAATCCCTATTTATATAGCAGTCAGTTAATAATTAGTTTAATGGGGGAAACCAGTAGGATTAGAGAACAGACTGATGAAAAGACGTCTTTTATTCATTCTGCCTGTTTTTGGTTGATTTTGCTTTTATCAGCGCAACAACTTTTCCACCTCAGCCAAGCCTAAAAGTTTTTTTGATAGTTGCAGATTTGACTGAACTTTCTGTGCTTTATTCAGGGTTTGGTCGATGTGAAGGCACCTTGTAATGTTAGGTTTGTTGAAAACACACTGAGACATTAAGCTCTTTGCTTCCAGAAGCTTTAGAGAGGCTGCAGAGCAAAGCTACACTGAAAATTCAACATAAACTACAAGTCTACCTTCATTTAATGTGATGTGTCCTTAATTCACAGCTAACTGATCATCAACAGCCCAGATTATAATCTCTCAGGTGACTAAACTTCTGGACACCAAATTAACACTCACGTTGCTCTGAAGCCCCAAACACGCATATAAGGGGCCCTTATTCCCGCTTTATTGTCAGATGATTTACAGCAACACCGGCTCAGAGAAACCTGAGACTGAAGTCTCTGCTAAAAGGCTCCACGTGGGTCTGGAGTGTTGAACTGAAACTTAAGGGCTGGGTGGGCTCCCTGATGCTTTAATGACTTTATAACAGGAAGCAGGGTTGGATGGGGGGAGGAATGAGCCTTGTTATCTCTGCTTTAGCCTCTAACCCCTTTAAAATAGAAATGCTTGAGCTCAAACAACCCCCCGCCCCCCGCACAGTGTGAGGTGGAGAGGCAGCATGTTGGACCAGGTTGGCTTAAAGGTCTGTTAATCTTCACATAATTTTACACATAATCACCCGGGGAATTTGCCAGCTTCCTTTCAAGTTTTACTCTTCTATTAAACTGCAATGTTTTATATGACTTTGGTCAGTTCCTAAAACACTAAGCTGGCAAATTCAGCATAATGCAGCTTAAACCTAAGACCTGATATCTGTCAATAAATCAATTCCCTTGCAAAAACTGAATACACGAGTTACAGACACATGCTTCTCTTACAGAAACATAATGTTTTGCATGTTTCATTTGGAGGAGAACACTTTCTATTTACAATTCAAAATTAGTCTTTCTACATTTGAACATTTTCTGACAACAGAAGAAGATATTGCATGTGAGAAAACAAAGACATGTTTAAACAAAGACATTACATGCCTTTGTTTAAACATGTCTTTGTTTAGTATGCAAACACATTTCATGTAAAACGTCATTTTAACTTGTGACAATACACATTTAAGGAATATGCAATAAAAGCCCAACACAAAAGCTACCAAAGAAAACACATGTATAAGTTGTCATAACAGATCAAGCATGACTTGGCAACTAAAGCCCTGAAGGGAGCACGGGTGTGTTTTATTTGTTGCTCGTTAAATTTCCTATTATTATATGAATGTGTTTATTCTTTTTTTAAAGTGCATTAAAACAGCTTCAACAGGTTTGATTAACCAATAAAACAGCCTCACATTTAAGCTCATGACTCATAACTCAGAAAGACTGGTGCAAACTGTTGCATTATTGTTTTTGTGGAGCCAGTTATGAGTTATTTTTCGAATGCTTGACAGTTTTTATCTGAGCTGGATTGAGCCATGTTCAGTATTTATATGTGCAGAATGGCACCGGTGTCTTTATGAGTCTTAACTGTGACCCCAGAGCAGCTACTCAGTAATAGTGTGAGAGTTGGGACAGACTCCACCAACAGTATTCTAGATACTTTATCTGCTTCATGCTCATGTAGGACAGTGAAATGCAAAGTCACTGTGTGAAGCTGCTCTGGACAACCAGGGCCCTGCACATGCTGGAGCCTCTCCTCAATGTTTCAGTGTAATCACCTGGTGGACGAACACATCCAGCGGTGTCTGCAGAGGAGCTCCATCCCTGCTGCTCATGGACAGGAAGCCGAAGCCCATCCTCACGTTGAACCACTTGCAGACGCCGCTGCCCCGGAACAGAGCCGGGTCGTCCTCCTCGGCCTGCACACAGCCTCCTGCAGCACAAAGGCTCAGAGTAAACGGCAGGTTCACAAACAGCAGCTCCCATAGAAACAACTGCACAAATACTGACAAGCACTTTCTCACAGGATAGAAGTGGAAAATATCCACTAACAATGTGGTTGCAAAAAAAACAAAGGGCAGCCTGTGCAGTGTGAGTGCAAAATGTTTTAGACTTCATTGTTGTTGCTCTAAAATGTCAGAATATCATAGTAAAGGCCGTCAGCATTTTCCAAAGCCCAAGATGCAAGGTTTTGATATCTTCACACCAACAGTGAAAACCCTAAAAACAACCATTTTAACAGGACAGAGGATCACATAGCCAACAGTTCCTCACAGCTGAGAAGCTAGAAGAGATTCTTTTTCATTGTCATTGTTGCATGAACATTTACATCTAATCTGTTCACTACTATTGCTCCGTCTTTATCAGTTTGCAGTGTCACTGCTGCAGCTGTGATGAAACAATCATGAATTCACACAATTAATGTCAATAAATTATTCCTGTAACCATGAAATAATTGCCAGAAAATTCATATTTTTTAAAACTGGTGTATTTATTGAACATTCTGACAAAGAATAAAAATTACATCAATTTGAGTTTTATTTGTATCATTGCTGCTACATCCGACATTTTTGGTGCATAAATTACGATCTATGGTGGATTATCTGTGCAGTGCCTGTGTCTGATTGTATACATCAGGTTTATCATGAAAACACTGATGATGACAGGGTCTCAAACACGCATGTGTCAAATATGAAATCGTAAAAAGATTTTTTTTTTTTTTTTTTTAAATCACTCAACTGTGTCCATATTGGACTGTCAGTTCTAATGTTCAGTGATGTGTTCACACAACAATCCAAAACTCTCACAAAAACTGTCCGTCTGTGCGTAACAGCAGCAGAACGCGCAGGTTCGGTGACTGGAATTCCTTCTGTCAACAATAAAATGAATAAACAGTGTTGGAGAAAATCTTGACATCTTTTCAGTTCAAATCAAACGAGTGAATCCGATTTAGAGGTTCCCCAGAGAACAAGTCTGACTGCGTGTTTTCTACCTGGTTCCGGCGGGTTGGAGGTGACGGTGGCGCCTCCACCCTCCCTCCAAACTCACAGAACCTGTCTTCTGATACCAAACCACTTCTGGACAGAGTTGACTGAATTCACTCCCAATCAGCAGCAGAACACAAACACAATGCAAGAAGAAGAAATGCATGTCTGCCGTCTCTTCTCCTGCTTTATATCCGAGCATCTCCTCGTACCTTCTGCCATGGTGGGAGGTTTCCACAGCCTCCTGCAGAACCAGCTCCGGCCCGGGACTCTGTCACATCACAGGAGCTCCATGCATGCTGGACCTGCAGCCTCTCAGCCGGTGTGTGTCTGTGTGCGTAATCCTCCAGGAGAAATAACGCGCTCGTCCTGCGTCCTGCTCTCTTCTTGCACAATATGAACGAGCCCCCTGACCCTCCTACCTCTAGTAACCCCCAACGCACACACACACACACGCACATGCACGCACACACCCACACACACACACACACGAGCACTTTTCGTTCAAGTCCACGTGACTTCCTATCGTAGATAAATCACACATGTCAAGTAAGATAGGGAGTCAAAACAATTGACAAACTGACCAATCAGGAGAGCATTCGCACCCAAGGGCCCAGAGGGACTCACCCCGCCCACTGCCGCCACACACACACACACACACACACACACACACGCGCGCAACAAAAAGGCAGCTGTAAGGTGTTGAGCAGATACAGATGATCCTCCACTGCTGCATCTTCAACACAAAGCACTTGTCAGTATTATTATAATTCTATTCACACAGTTCTGTATGAAATCCCTTTAAGTGTCCCACAGAAGTGTCAAAGTGGACCAAACCACATTTATTAGTTTTAGTGAAAAATGGGCTCAAAATTTTGTGTTGCTAAAAAAAACTAATCATGGTTGTTGGACGAGTCATTATATGCATCCAAAGATGTTTCAACACCGTCCAGAGATGGAAAAAGTGACTCTGTGGTGACTTATTTAAGTTTTAATTTGTCGTTCCTTTTGCTGAGTGCCAAAATATTTTTTACTTTTTAAGAAACAAACTGATTGAAGGTTTGTCTCACTGAACAGCATTGAAGAGTTTACCTGGGTCATCATAAGGAACCAGAGATACTTCTGAGGACCATGGGGTAGAACTAGATGCTTGGTGGTTGTTAATTAAGTTTTCATTTTACTTATGAGTTGAGGTCGCGCTGTCCGCCATCTTGAATCGCAAACACATGCAACTACCTGCAGCTACCTGCGCCCGCGATACAATGGTCAGCAATTCCATTACTACAGGGCTGTTGGGTGGAGCACTTTACCATGAGCTAGTAGACCACAAACATTTATCAAAAATACGTAATACTTTGGCACTAAGTCCATTTTAAAGGTACACTGACCTTAAACAGGGAAAAGAGCCCTTTTTAACCGAACATCTGTTCTTCCACTAACTCGAGTGGTCACACACAACACTTTATGGCGCTACGTCACACTCCACCAACTATGAGTCTTCAGCCAAAAGAAGAAGTCAGCTCAGTGATACCAACTTCAAGTCGGGCCCACCCGCCACAACACATTAAGAAGAAGGTTCTTAGTTCAGACATCAGGGCAGAGACAGACGACAATGATAGTTTGAGCAAGAGGCCAGAGAGCACTGAGACCCAGGCAGAACTTCTCGAAATAAAATGTTTTAAGACAGATTCAGAGCAATATTTTATATCAATCAAGGTTAAACAACCAAATTAGTTTATAATAATATATTTTAGAACAGAGTTTCCTGAAGCCCAAAATCAGGACGGGTGCTGTTCCATGTAATAAATGTCATTTTAATAACTTCAGCTCAACAGAACCAGATAACAAGCAGCAGCAGTTGTGTGACAATGACAAAGGTCCAGCATTTGATGCCTGATGCATTTAAAGTCAATGTTCCATTAGTTTAATAATGATTGTGTCCCTAAATTAAAGCCCAATGAGATGATTGCTTAGAGGCTGCCTTGCTTATGCATATGAGTTTTACTAATGATGTAAGTAATGTATTTTAATGAGATAATTAATGCATTGGAATATGTTAATGCACTTCTAATAGATGGTCTGCATGCATAATGTTTTTGGTTTTAACGACAACAGGATAACACAAGAGGCGTCTCTTCAGTTTTAAGGGTCTCACATTTAATTCCAGTTTGAAAAATTATTCAAGTTGAAGAATTAGTGTCATAAATATTTACCACATTTGGTAAAATTTGAATTCATTAAGAAAACCCTTCAATCTATAATAACACATTTATTTATCCATTAATCAGCACCTGAATTTGGAAAATGTTAAATACAGTAAAGGCACAAAAGTAAAGTATTTATAATGTTATGTTGTTCACTTAAAGAGGTTTTAGGGCTTAAAAAACACTTTATCCATACAGAAAGCCATTCATATATTACAAGGCATTCGTTTATCCACTAATTTACTTGCATGTATGTGAGTTCTTTGAAATCAACCATCTAATGATTAAAAACGGCTCGATTCTAAAATAAATATGTACATTTAGAGGAATTGAAATTTATGTTTGTCCTGTTTATATCCTCTAATACTCTTTTAAACTGATAATAGCTCATTAATAACTTAGTGGAATATTAAAGGTTTAATTAAGGACTCTCTTGAAATCTTGAAATATACTTTTTTGAAAGGGAATTTTTCATTTTCAGATCAATAGACAAATAAGGGATTTTCCAATTACCGTACATCTGGTCAAAACTGTTTTTAAAAATGTAATTAATAAGGTCAATTTCATTGAGATTAAAATCTGAAGACACAAAAAATATACACAAAATATTTCACAGACATTGAAGACAAAGCATCACAAAAAGACAAAACACCCCAAAAGAGACACTAAACAATGTCAGACACACAAAAAGATGCCAGTAGGCACAAAATGACCATAAGGAGATGCTAAACTTTCCCAAAGAGACACAACAACCTGGAAGACACACAGAACGACACTGAGACAGCATCCCAAAGACAAATGAAATGACACATGAAACAACACCCGGAAAGACACAAAATAACAACAAAGAGATGCAAAACTAAATCCCAAAACACACAAAATGATCCTAAAGAGATGCAAGACTACAACAAACAGATCATATTTAATGGAAACACAGGGAGTAAAACCAGACAATTATTTCCTGACTTGTTCCATAATTTCTATACGTGAAGCTGGACGTAGTATTCCTGATGTCCATGATAATGCTACGACCTAACAGGTGAAACTGAGACACCAGATGGCAGGTTGCCGTCCTTCAGCCCTCCAGGATGAATCACACGAGCTGAAGAAGACATTAATCTGCCTTCTTTGTCTCTGAGGTGATTCACCTCCAACCGTTACTGGAGTCACTCCACTCACTGCTGCTCATTAATAGCTAATTAGTTGCTTTCAAGCTGGTGAGGGGAACCACAAACCTCTTATCACCACAACTGAGTCATGGAAGTTCCTGTAAACACACACACACACACATACACACACACACACACACACACACACACACACACAAAAGCCTGCATACAGTATGTGACAGGTAATGAGCTAAAACCAGCCGTCACTCTGACATCCTGCAAACAAGTGCAGCTTAATATGTGTGTGTGTGTGTGTGTGTGTGTGTGTGTGTGTGTGTGTGTGTGTGTGTGTGCGTGTGTCATGGAAGTTCCTGTAAACACACACACACACAC